GTCAGAAGTGTCAGGGAATGCTCCTAGGCACTCATCTGCCAGAAATTAGAATTCAATCCCTTTTGGCTCACAAGAAATAGCACTCTTCTAAACAATCTCTGTGCGTCAGGAAATAAAGCTAGGAACTATCCATAACAGGCATTTCTGATACAGATTCTCTGTTTCTGATGGATGACTGTCATCCTGTACTAGCTGGCCTTGTTGCTAAGAAATGATCCAGCACATGTTTACTGGATTCAGCACCTGGGATAAACCTGGACTCCACATGATCCCCAAGAATCCAAGTAAGCACATGTTGAGAAAGGTAGAGAAGAGTACCACAGTGCTATTGTGCCCAAGAAGAACCCTTCAAAATCTCTTTTCCTTCCTCCTTCTCTGCTGAGCTTTTCCCTCTGCATTACTTCCACAAGGAGAGGTTCACTGGGTTCATGAGAAGCTGGTGGCTAGGAAGAGGACTAGCTTCCTAAAGTTGCCCAGGTCCCACAAGGAAGAGGAGAAATGAGGAAGCTCAGTGAAAATAGCAAATAAGCATTGAAATTATGCAAGTGTGGGGTGGCTTGTTAAACTGCTAGTGCTGAAAAGAAATGCCATTTATCTTCAAAAGAACACCGGAGACATTATCCTGACATTATGCTCATGACATGTCACCACCATATGTGCACCAGCAATAGCGCAGCATGGAAATAAAACCCAAGATGATTCAGAAGCATTGTACCCCAAGCACTTCCTCCCTCCCTCCAAACACTAGAAAAGCTCCCAGCAGCTCTGCCCCTTGATTCAGTCAGCTGGGTAGCGTCAACATGTAATAGCTGGATACAAGTACTTTCATGTAGATCTCTTAATAAAATATTGTGTTAGCAGACATCTAAAACAATAGGTAACAGCTTTCAAAAGAATTCAGATGTTCAGGAATGGCTCACCTAGTGTGTGGCACACGCTGACAAGGAGGATTTGGTTAAAGCTGATAGGAGACTACACACATGATTGCAGAGGGTGTTGGTTTCTAACAGATCTGAGCAAGTGTATCATTACATCATCAGGGTGACAGCAGGTAAAACAGGATCTCAGCCAGAATCTAAACACCTGATGTTTTGTTTCAGACAAATATCAGGACTGGAAATGATTTCACCCTAGTAAGAAGAAGCTCAATCGAAGAGATTGCTACAAAACTCTTCCATTCCTGCAATATGTATACTAAAAATTACTCAGACGAAATATTCCTTCTAAAAAGGCTAGAATAAACCCATTCTCTTTTTGTTTAAAAGCTTAGAAAATCCACGAAATAAAAAGCAAAGACAAAGGCATTGTAATTACTAAATAAAAACTCATTTTCTGAAACAGGATCCTTTATACAATTGTAGAGATACAACTGAAGTTTAGGAACTATCAAGAGATGAGAGGAAAATAATGCTTTTCCCCCAAATGTTTCAGAATATTTAATAGGTAACAGGGTCTGTCATGTTTAAATCCAACAGTAAAAACACAGTGAAATTGTTTGAAATATTGTCCTAGTTAGAGCAGCCAGGACCAGTTCATCCCTGTGTGGGGAACAACCCAGAATGTGTATTCTAAACCCTCTATGTCATTTCCCAGAAGCTGTTAACAACAGACCATCTGCAGCAGTTGCCCAGAGCACACCTGACCCCTTAGGTTATAAACTGGGTGTTAAGAGGCCTGTGAGACAGGAGGATGTTCCTGTCCTCACACTCCCAAGTCCCAATCACCCATTATGGAACTCCCTGCCCTGGGGAAGGTATTGGGCACCCCTGTACAAACTGGAGAGTATATAATCTTGGGCCCTTGGGATTTCTGGTACCACTTGTGAGATCCAGAGGAAGACCAGAACCTCGACCAGACTGCAGCCACCACCTGCACCAATAGATTTTTCCTCTCCTTTTACTTTTGGACTCAGGGGGCCCATGTGGGGCTCAGCATGGGGGCCAATGAACACCATTCTGTTTGTGCCCCAGGGTGCCAGGTTATGTATCTGGGGTTTTGTGGGTTAAAACCAATTGTTCATCTGTATAATTGTATTTCTTGTATTATTTTTATTAAACTGTAATTCTGACTTATAATCTCTTTTGAGTTGGGTTCATTTCTCCTGCCAGTTTGCCTTTAAACCAGCACAGATGTATAACGGCTAAGTATCTAAGTCCATGTTCTGACTATTGACATGATTCTATATTGCTTCATATGATCATGTAGCTTATCTAAGTATTACAAATTGGTGCATTTAAGATTAGCATTTCCTGTCTTCAAGGTTGTCGTATCCAGTAAATGTTGATAATGGATATTAAATGTTATATGGTCATAGGAAATTAGTGACTTAAGCAAATGTTCAATTATCTTTATGAGACATAACTACTTTCACTACTTGATTTTAATCACTTACCATTTTTTTCACTACTTTGCTAAAAATATGACAGCTTATTATACAATCATCCCAAATTTTATGGGCAAGATAATAACTCCATCTTGCTGGGCCTGTTATTTTAAGTCATGTCATAAATAGGATCCTTCTTGCAAAATACCTGTAAATATCACCAAAAAGAAGAGGAAAAAAAAAAAAAAAGCAGGCTGAAAAAACAAGGGATGGTGCTAACAGAGCCAAAATAAAGCTGTACTTATGAGGCAGGACAGATGCTGATCATCACAGTCCAGATGCCACAGTTTCATGGGAGCTATTAGTATCTGTCCTCTCTGAATATTGCGTCACTCTGTAAGGGAAGCACAGCACTAGAAGACAAGGCAACTGAGGTGGAAGAATATGAGGTGGAAGAAAATGATGCACAGGTAGATCTCTTTCCAAGTCTTTTCCAAATTGGTTACAGCTAGGTAACACATCCAGACTGAGATCCATCCTGGATACCAACACACAGTCATAGCTTCTAAACATCTGTATGAATACCTGTTTACAGCAGAAGTATGAAAGCTCTGTACAGCTTATGATGCCCACAGGGAAGAGTCTCAGAAAGCCAATACCACCTCAGTCTGGAAAATGTGTTTCATTTCAGTTGTTACTTTACTTGATCTTTTAAAGAGATGCAAGGAAAGAAAAGTATTTTACAAGTCTGTATCATCATATACTCATCACATAGTAGCTGCCCTTCTAGATTTTGCAAGCTGAAGACTAAGTTCATGGACGTAGCTGTCACACTTTCAGAACCACTTTTTTCTATTTTAAATTCAAGAAAGAGAATTATACTCATTACAACACGAATCAAGCCACTAGAAATATTTATCTACTATTTATCTGCCACATGATCTCAATACTGTTTCCATCATTTAGAAACAGTATTTAACAAAAACTTGTGTTTCATCAAAAGTTTGATCTACTTAAGGACCTCAGCCTTGCCCCTAAGCTGCTGTTAGGGATAGAGCTTAGGGAGTGACAGTGCCTATGATTCCAGGAACACTGTGCCAGGAATAGGCATGCCAAGGGAAGCATGGCACTGCACCAACACTGCTACCTCTACATCCACGTTTTAGAACCACAGTAATTTCCTTGGGGTTTAAGTTAGTATACTTAAAACTATAAACATACATTAAATCAACACAGCACGTGGCAACAAGACGTGCGAATAATTTTTTAGTATAGGGACAAAATATCTTAATGGGAAATGCCATAAGCATGTATTTACACAGTGGTTTTGTAGTGCATGCTCACGGTAATTGTCCATTGCATAATATTTTCCTTAGGAAACAACATCCTTCTTATATATCAAAGGTGAAATGGTACGACAAACAGTACTACCAACATGATAAATATAGAGAGGGACATGTATAAACAGATACCCAAAACCTGCATATTGCAAACATTGCCTCAAATGACTTAGTGGGTCTAAAGGACACAGGCTAAGTGAAAACTGAAAGTAGAGTAAGTCCCTGGTGCTAAAGTACTAGGACTAAGACAGAATGGAAAAATAGTTGCCATGCCTTAAAATGAATGCTGTGAAATACTGAACAATACCGCAGTCTGAAAACTTAGCTCCTTTCCCTCATTCTCCAGTCCATATCCACTACTGCGAGAAAAGAGAAGAGGTGAAAAGCCACAGATGCTTAGCCCCTGATCCACCCCCATGGAAAAGTTTGCTGTTTACCTCTATTTCATCCTGTGGAACTGTCACTCCTTGTGGAAAGCTACAGACCTCTACCTCTAAATTAAAGCATTTTGTTAGTCTGTGAGAACTTGACTTGGTGAACAGGCCTTACAAAACTGTCCTGCGCAACCCTGACGTGAAGCTCTCATAAACACCTCAGCTTATCAGGCAGTTTGCTTTGAGCAGGGTCAAGGGTGAACTCGCACTTACAGGAAATTTCGAAATTAACTTTTTGAAATGCCGGCATCCTTCAAAGTCTTCCTCGTACAGACAGGAGATAAAAAAGTGCATAACATAACACTCTTCTCACTTCACCTGAGCAATGAATATATACGGGACGGGGCATTGAGCAACCTGGTCCAGTGGAAGGTTTCCTGCCCATGGCAGGAGAGTTGGAACTGGATGATTTTTAAGGTGCCTTTCAACTCAAACCATTCCATGATTCTATGGAGTGAACAAATCACTGCGGCGATCTGCATCCTGCATCTTCTTTCGGGAACAGAACTAACACATTCCTCGCCGCCCCTCCGGACGGAGAGGGAAGCTTTCTCCCCCTCACCAGCCTGCGGAATGCCCCTCCGAATGGGGTGGGGGGATGTTCCATCCACGGCCGAGGGATGACTGCCGGCACCGCGCTCCTCCGCCTCCCGAAGGAGAACCCTCCCACCCGGCACGGCTCTCCCGGGGGTCAGCTGGGACCGGCTCTGCGCTCCCCCGGCTCGCTCCTCCCACCCACGCGGGAACGGTGGGAGGCACTTTCCGTGCGGAAGGGAAGTGGCTCCTCCGTGGGGCAGAAGGAGGAGCGGATCGCGGGCTCACTGGGGAGGAGGCGGGCCGGGGAGGCGAGGGGAGCGGCAGGGAGGGAGCTCCTTGCTCCCCGGCGCCCGGCGGAGTGCGAGGATGAGCGGCGGGGGCGGCGGTGAGGGCCGGACGGGCTCCATCAGCTACGCTCTTCCCTCCATCCCCTCCAGCAAACTCTCGGACTTGCATTTCATCAGCCGGGGCGCTTACGGGACCGTGTCCGCCGCCCGTCACGCCGACTGGAGGGTCCCGGTGGCCCTCAAGTCCCTGCAGGGGCCGCTGCTGGACAGGTAACAGGGTGGGGAGAGGGTCGGCCGGGATGGGGCATCGCTGGGGGCAAGGACCGAGCTGAGCTCACCTTTCCCTAAACTAAGCAGGGGGTCCCACGCAGCCAGAAAGGGGTCGAGGTGCCGGCTTGGGATTCTCAGGTCGGTGAATCGGTCCTGGTGTTCTGGTAGGCAGCGTTACACTAAATCCGTGGGAAAGGGATTCCCATAAAGAGTGAATCAGCTTGAGCCACGAGAAAGCACGTACCAGCCCCGGAGCTTCCTCTGTTTCGATTGTTGGAAATGGGTAGTTTCGGTTTCGGTCAGCGAGACACAAATTACCTTGTTTGTTTTCGAGGCTTTTATTATACAGTGTGCACCTTGATTCCTCCGCACGGTGGGATTGGCACAGTTTGCCTTCTTTCGGAGCCTGTTGGATACTGACCGTTTTGTTGAAGTATCAGCAGGGTATTTAAGTGCAGTGATTACTAATAGATTTGTAGTTTACAGAGAGAGAAAGAATATAGGGAATATGCACAAAAGATTACTTCTAGCTCCCAGAAGTAGCTTCTCTGACACAATGCACAATTATTATTTTTTCCCCAGGTCTCACAGTACTGAGAGAAGCTGATTTAAAATATTAGGCTTGTAGGCCCCCATGTACAGCTGATATTTTCAGTGTTGCAGTCGTGGTCCCCAATTTCCAGGGACCCAAGCAGCAGCATGCTTATTACAGGAGCTGTCACTCCATGTAAGGGGGCAGCAGGTTATAATTTTTCATTCACCTCTGTCTCATTCAGTCCCTACAGTGCCAGGATTTTACCATATCAATGCAAATTTGCCTCTTCTAGGCTGTCTGAAACCTGTCTGACTGCAAACCTGCCTCCTGAGTCTTATCTCGGTGTCTTCCAGCTTTATTACCTCAGGTTTCTCTGATCTAGTACGATGCCTTTAGGCAGGGTAACTTCACTCAAAAAAGCTGCTAGTCTTGTGAACCAGTATACTAGATTATGACAGGTTGTTTTAAGCTCTTTCACCTCTTATTACTCGGGTATGTCTACATGGGCTTTATCTCTGAAATCTTGCCTGAAATCTCAGTTATGTTGTGTTCTCTGAAAAGCTGGGGATGAAGGGCGTGTTGTGGTTTTTGTGGGTTTGTTTTTTGGGTTTTTTTATTTAAATGTCTGCTTAAATCCCTGCTAATCAGAAATACGGTGTTTATCCTCAGAACTCAGCTGGGGAAAAACACCAAATGTTATTTTTAACCTTGCAAGAGTTTGGATTAGTGTGACATCTAACCTGTGAAATTATGATGAAAAGGGAAAGCAAGGTAATCAAAATAATTCAGTCACCTAACCTTATATCATGCAAAGCTCAGATATGCTGTCAGAAGACAGAAAGCTGTAAGAAATCTGTTATACCTGAGTCTCTGCAGCAAGTGATTTGTTGGTTGTATAGGATAAAATACCAGCCTGTAAGTGTTGTGAAGAAAAGGGAAGAGTTGATGGTGCAGTTAATTCCGTAAATAGGAAGTCTGTCCTATGCATCCCAGCATATGGTGTGTGAGCAGCCAAAGAGCAAAGCCAGCTGGGAAGTTGTTGTGGCCATGTACTCATTTAGGCATTACTCAGTGCCCTTTTAAATGGAGCAGACAAAGGTGAAGTGACTTATAGACCCAGAAATAGACTTCGGTATGTTGCAATTTTTTTCCCAGCTACAGCTGAATCCCATGCAAATGTGCTTTTCTGTCCGGGAAAACCCCTAGCTTCCTTCAAACCTAGTCTTTTCTGGAGAGAGAGAGGAAGGGATAGAGTTGTGTCTTATGTTGCATGCTTTTCTCAAAGGCTGCATTCCTAGAGTTTCCTATAATAAAAGTCTTTTTCTATCACATAGATAAGGACCTCAATTTCACATCCATCAAAAGTCAAAGTTTTCCTATTGTAAAAGCAGCAAGCTTTAGTTCTCCAGGCTTCCTCTTTTCTCCATATACCCTGACACCCTCTTCTTTATGAGGGCTAGATCCACATCTATGGGTCCAGACTGCCCTGATGGACAGAAGTGGCTCTCTCCCGGGGGCTGTGTAGCCACACTGACACGGAGCTGTGCTGAACAAATAGTGATGGGAATAGCCCTGGCTTGTACACTGCTGTGCCCCAGCACAGCCCTATTGCTTCTGAATCAGACTGGTTCACATTCAAAGGATCAGTCTTAAATGTGCTGTAAGTGTCCTGTATTTGGATATTCTAGTCATGTACTTCTTCTACCTGTACCAGTGTCTGCTGGTGTGAGATCTAAATCTTTTACCTCAGAATTATCCTTTGTCAACAAACTCATTTTTTTCAAGACCATTTGAGATATAAGGCATACCAAAGAGTTAATAATTATAGGGATAGAAGCATACACAAATAAAACTTGAGCTTCTCAAATCCACGTGCTGCAAGGTCTGAATTCGTAAAGATGCATAAAATCCAAGTTTTTGAGGAGTTTTGAGGTAAAATAGGACAAATGTAGCTGGTTGTTACAAAGAATGGTGGAAGTTGGGAGTTTTGACTGCATCCTTGTTTACTGAAAACACTGATGAAACACGTGATGGAAATGGATTTGTGTGGTACAACAAAACCGGGGAAGCTATCTTGTCTTTGCATTTGCAGATTCTAATTTGTCTTATGTTGTTTTGTTATCAAAACAGCGTGGTAGAAATCAAATGCTGAAAGGTGGTGGTGCTGCACACAGAGACAGGGAATTGACAGAGAATATAGTGAACCCAACATTTGTTTTGAGTCTTTTAGTATTGGTATGGTAATGGTTTTTGTTTGTTTGTTTGTTTGTTTTCTTTAAGTGATAGAAATCACCTTCTAAAAGAAGCAGAGATATTACACAAAGCCAGATTTAGTTACATTCTGCCAATTTTGGGAATTTGCAACGAGCCTGAATTTCTGGGAATAGTAACAGAATACATGACAAATGGGTCATTAAACCAGCTATTGCATGGGGTAAGTGTACTTACAGTCTTTAAATAGATACCTGGCTGCTTCAAATAGATTGCAATTTCCATACTTAATTAGTATAGTCAAGTGTATGATGAATAATATTTCACATTGAAGGACAGTAATTATCATTAGTAGTTTTGGTGCTCTGATAGACTTTTCTGTATCTCAGAAAGACAACCAAACTCAGTAGACTTAAGTTTTATTGAACTTTTTCCTTTAACATTGTGACCTATTCTAGCTTTATGTTGAATTACTATGTAGAGTCACTTTAAAAATCTCTGTTGTTCTCTAGTTAGGTGCTGAAATACTTATGTGTACTTCAGCCTGGGTTTGAGAATTACTGCTAGTATAAATATTGAGGGTTTTTTACCGAATTTGGATATTTCTAAAAAATAAATTTAAGATTTTGACTTTAGTTTAGAGAAGCTAAATGTTGTTAATCTAAACAGATATGAATATTTCAACCAGATCTTATTCTCTGAGTAAGTTCTCCTGTGCTGAACTCTCAGCAGCTCACATTATCTTGACCTGAACATACACTGTTGCTCCTGTAAAGCTCCTGCAGTTGTCTCAACAGCACCTCTTCTGTACCTTTAATCAGTACGTTTCTCATGCATTAGAGAGCTCATCTGTGGGTTTTTCGTAGAGGCATTACTGTCAATATAAATTTTAAGATTTCAGTTGAGTTTTACTACCTTTTTCTAGGTGTATTAATATTTATAAAGGTAATATTTTGTGCTTAGTTTCAACACAGCTTTTTTTTTCCCCCAGAGTCAGTTGAAGATGTGATTCTTGACTTCCTTTGTGTAGTACTCATAATCTGTGGGTTGCAAGGTTAATGCAGAAGTTCATCTGTAATTCATATTTCCACATGAATGAGTAATGTAGTAAATGCTCTATATCACGTATAGCAGTCATGAACTATTACGTGAATGCCAGGGGATGGAAACATAACATTTTTATGCAGTGTTATTTATGCATTTATTTTAACAACTAATCAGTCTTAATGCTCCATTACAGTTTTTTAAGGAGTTTGTGTAATGTATGCTTTAAAAAGATTGCTCCTTGCCCAAGTCACTTTCTTTTTTTTCTAAAATAAGTCTGTGTTGTGCTGTTAGATCAAAACAGAGGATTATATTCTGGGTTTCTGGTTTTATCTTGGCAGAAAGATGCATATCCTGACATTCACTGGTGCCTGAGATTCCGCATTCTTTACGAAATTGCCTTGGGAGTGAACTATTTGCACAACATGAATCCTCCACTGCTGCACCATGACTTAAAAACCCAGAACATTTTGCTGGATGATGAGTTTCATGTCAAGGTAGAGTTATTTAATTCTTATGTTCTTCAGCATCTAGAATGAGTGAAACTGTTTTAATTAATTTAGAGGATGAAGAGTGAGGTTTTGGCCATACAGAGAGGATGTGATTGTATGCTGGAATTTTTCTTCTATCCTTGCAGACAGAACTTCTGAGTTTTTCTTTTTGAAAACTACGTTGCTCGAGTGTAGATTTTATCCATCTGAAAAGACCAGAAAGAAAGAATTTGGGCTGTTTCTGCTAAAGCAGTGGATGATACTCAGCAGTAGTGATGCTCTTGTGTGTCAGCCTTCCAAGGGTAGCTACGTCTGGCCCTTTCTGAGAAGAAAATAGAAAGTCTGCCTGTCTGAGATGCTCAGACAAGTTACTTCTGGAAGACAGTAGGTCAAATTCAAATGTTAGTAGCCCATTGGATATTTATCATGCAATATATGCTTATCCATTCTCTTAGTGTAGTATAAGAACATGTAAAACATAACTCTGAAAATTGGACCGTGAAGATGGCCTTTTGACACTGCTGAGAACAAGCAAACATACACAGAGAAGTAACAGTAGTTTAAAACTTTAATTCTGCCTTTTAAAATATCACTGCCATGATGTGAAAAAAAGACTAAAAGTACTTCTGACAAAATTGTTATATGCTTCCATAACTGCAAGAGTTGGGTGTGTTGTTTCTTGTGTTTTGTTGTTTGGTTTTTTTTTTTAAGATTCTCTGTTTTTATAGTTGATAGAATATATTATTCAAGTAATGGAAGTAGGAGATATTTTGCACTGAATTTATACTTGAATGGTGAATTTTTCACTTTTTACTATGAGATGAATCTCTTAATGAGTCCTGTGAGCAAAGATCTAGTGCTGATTTCTTCTTTCTCTGTTGCACAGAAATTTTTCTTGGCCGCAAAGTGCCTCATGCAGCGTTTTCTCTGCTCACGCCCTCAGCAGGTCATACCTCCTCCCACTCAGTTGTGCTGGTATTTCTCGAGCTTCCTGATAAACCTGATCAGGGGACTAGTCCAAGTAATTTTTTTATCCACTCCGTTTTTAATCCCTAACAGCAGCGGTGTGGTCTGGTGCTCTGCCTGAGTGCATCTGAACAATTGTTTTGCTGGAGCAGTTGAAAAGAAATGCTTAACTGTTGCACACTTGCCCTGCCTCCTGTAAGGAGTGTCCTTAGGGTTCTAAGTGTCTTTTAGAGGTGAAGCAAGATTCTCTAGAATTAGGACAGCTGACAGGAAATGCAAGGAAGGTTATCATGTATGCCAAATAGAAGAAGTATTGCATATGTATCAAAGTAACACCATTCACTGAGCACTACTGACTGTCCCTCATCTACTGAATGAGCAAGAATTAAGGCAAATTACAGCGAGGAAGGCTTGATGAGAGTGAGTTCTAGAGAAAAAAGGTTACTTTTCATTGGGTATTTTGAGTGTACTCTCTTCAGAAAGCTTGGTTTTTAATCTTAGCTGCCACAGTGCTTGCACAGGCATCTTCACTGAAAATGGTTTTGCTCTTACACAAATGCCGGGCAAGTGCAGAGCTGGTATCTGGCTGCATATCTTTCTCCCTTGTATGCCAGACACTCTGCAGCTCAGCCAGCGGGTGTATTTTTGCTGGCTGTGTCCCTATCCATAACCTACTCTGATGTCTTGCGTGCTGGCTTACGGATGTCTGAGGATGTAAACCGAAGTCAGTTAAGTCTTTATGTAGATGTACTGTAACCTGTAGAAAGAGACTAGGCTCTAAGTTGCACATTAAAGAAAATATTCAGCAGCTTTTTGCAGAACAGAATTTCAGAATATCAAATTTATTAATTCAGGATTAATATATCATAGTTTTATAAGTGAGATGAAATGCCCAAAAATTTTTCTGAGAGAAGAACTGCCTCAGAATATTGGCAAGCTAAGTTACGTAGAGCTATTATGATTTATACTAAACTTGTGCTTTCTTCATAACTAGGTAGCTAGAAGTAATCAGTGATTTTTATTTGCTTTTTTTCAACACAAGAAGGTGATTTTTGTCATAAGGTACAGATTTCTATAGCAGATTCCCCAGCCGTAGAGTATATGAGTTCTTCCTTAAAAGAACATCATAGGGCAATGCTAGAGGGATAGCATGACTCATGATCTGGGAATGCTTTATGAAGTGGAGTTGATGTTTCCTGTTGCTAGAGAAACCACACTCTTTGCGTGTCAGGTTAAGGACTTTGGGTGACCCCTTCTTCCGGGCATAATTCAAGAATTTTTAACAACTGTCAACAGATAAATCCTGGTTTTCTTCTAAGAACGTCTGATTTGGCCTTTCCAGATTGCAGATTTTGGCATGTCCAAATGGCGCATCATATCCATGTCTCAATCACGAAGTGAATCCTCTTTGCCAGAAGGAGGGACAATTATCTACATGCCACCTGAAGACTACAACCCCAGCCAGAAAACCCGGGCAAGTGTGAAACATGATATCTACAGGTAACTCATGTTGTTCTCCAGTGGGCTTTTAAATTTGAATTCAGATTTGATTTTCTGAACCTAGATTTTAACATATTCTATTTATGTTAATTATCCCTTACCCTTAAGGGGCACATGAAGTTTCTTGACGTTCCTGTCCAAAGAGTACAGATAGCAACATGCCTGCTCTCCTCATCTTTTGATGAGAAAATACAGACTGGGAAAACACTGAAAAAGGAAAAATGGTATATTATGGGCAAAAAAAGTATGACTGGTGTCTTAGTGAGTGAGTGGAGATTAGGAAGAGAGATGTTTGTTAGGAAAAAAACATATGCAGAGGAATAACAAGCAAATGGGAGATAATAAGAGAGAACAGATCAACAGAAGGGCTGAGTAGAAAACTGATAAATTAGGAAGGAAAGAAACTGTGTGAGAAGAAAGAAAAGAAACTGAGACAACATCAGAAAGAAAGATGGCAGTTCATGCAGGAAGACATGAAGGTGGAGAGACAGTGAAGCACCTCCAGAAAGGCCACACAAGGCCTTCCCAAGTTCTACCTCCTCCCCTGCAGCGCCACACTGAGATGAGGAATGGGGGTCAGTTCATAACAGGTTGTTCCTGCTGCTGCTCAGGGAGAGTTACCTTTCCCCTACTCTGCATGGGGTTCCTCCTGTGGGAGACTGTTCTTCCCAAACTGCTGCCTTGTGAGTCACTTCTCTGTGAGGTGTAGTCCTTCAGACACTGGCTGCTCCAGAGTGAGTCCCCCACAGGGCCACAAGCCCTTCCAGGAAAACCTGCTCCAGCATGGGCTCCTCTCCCACGGGTCAGCAGGTTCCTGTCAGCATCCTGCTCCAGCATGGGCCTCCTATGGGGTCACAGCCTCCTTTAGGCATCCACCTGCTCTGGTGGGTCTCCTCCATGGGCTGCAGGTCAGTCTCTGTACCTCTGTGGACCTCCATGGGCTGCAGGGGCACAGCTGCTCCACCATGATCTGCACCATGGGCTGCAGGGCCTCAGCTCCGGTGCCTGAAGCACCTCCTGCACCTCCTTCTGCACCAACCTTGGTGTCTGCATTGTTGTTCACATGTTCTCACTCCACTCTTCTCTGGCTGCAATTTCATCTGTGCAGTAACTTTTTTTCCCTCTTAAATATGTTATCAGAGAGGCGTTGCTGTCATTCCTGATGGGCTCAGCCTTGGCCAGCAGGGGGTCTGTCTTGGAGTAGTCTGGCATTGTCTTTGCCAGACATGGAGGAACCTTCTGGCAGCTTCTCACAGAAGCCACCCCTATATCCGCCCACCTGGCTACACAAATCCAGTACAACTCACTATCAGAAGGAGATTCTATAAAGCAGAAATAAGAAAGAAAAATAGGAACAGTGTAAAGGGAAATGCTTCAGTGTTGTAGAACTGAGAAAATAATTTTGAATTGTAGAGAGATTCCAAATTGAATGAAAAGCTGGATGTCTAGCTGACCACAGCTGAATGTTGTTGAGATATTTAAGCTAATTTGTGAGGAAGGATCCTTCTTAAAGAAACAAGTTGTTTAAACAACAATCAAGCAGCATTAACTCTTACAAAAGGAACAAAAAAATCAGCCTGCATAAATTTATCAGAAATGCATCAAAAATCATACTTTCTAACAGGGAGGACTGCTTTTATTAAAAGTTACATGAATAAATTTTATCATTGATTAATGTTAAAATGTGAACAGAATAAATAGATAGGAAAACTCAATTTCTCTGATTGATTTTAAGCATCAGTTCTTTCTTTCTTAAAATTTTTTTATTCTTCTTAATTAGTAGCCATTAGTTGCCATTAAAGGCAATTGCATGTACACCAAATTTGGTATTTCTTAGTGATGTAGGAAAGTAGCTCAGTACATTTGAACCAAGTGTGTGGAACAAGCCTTGAGAGCAATTTACCATGGTGATTATTATCTGGAACAATAATGTGGTAATGCTTATAAAGACTTGGCTTGGGAGCATGGAACTAAACATGTGTCAGCACCTCACATTTATTCTGAAGTTACGGAAGCACTGAAGCTTTAGCCTGGATTGTTTTTTCTAAATCTGTGTAGCGGAACCAGATACTTGAGTAAAATGGTGGAATTAGTATTAGGACCTTTTGGGATAAATCATGGACTAGAGCTTCATTCAGATATGGCAGAATATGCCAAGAGAAAATTGGAGAGCTTCATAAAATGTAGTAATAGCTTTGATGAAAATTTGTTTGTGATGTGCATCTGAAAAAAGGAGCAGGATTTACATGCTCTATTTAAATGAAATAATCTAAACTTATTCAAATTAAAAAGTTGTGTGAAGTTACCTTTTCTAATATGTCCTGATGGCTGAATAGTGACTAGTCTACTAAAGGTGAAGCAGCTTGTACTCCCTGAACCACTTCCCATTCATATTGATGTGAATGGAAAGAAAAGGTCACCAGTTTGAGTAAGCAGATGTGTGTTCAGTCTCCTAACAGTAGTTCAGAGTGGTGTTCTCAGGAGTCACTGCTGGAAAGTGAGTGCTGTGTGGGAATGATATCTCTTCCTATAGAGAAGATTGTATGTGTTGAAAGCGTATATATGGGAGGGGAAGCTGGAGTATGCATCCTGAGTGGAAGTTCACACCTTAGGTGTGGGTCAAAGCCATCCTCCCTGCTAACACCCAGCCTCCCTCAGGAATGTCAGGGACTGTCAGTCTGGACTGGGGAGGTGCCACAGTATCACTGTTAGGACAGAGCAGTTGGGGCTCTGGGACTCACTTTAATTTATGTGCTGAGATTTAAACTGCATGTACATAATTCAGAACATATTACTAGAGCAAAGTTAATACAGATTTGGAATAGGAGTTTATGTGCCATGTAACCTTTTCTGTATTTAATATTATTAACTAGTTCTAGTTGAAGTCACTGGTTAAAACTCCTCTTAGTTTTCATATATTCAGCCATCACTGTAGTTAGCTACAGTCAGTCCCGTGTGTGTTTACAGGACCATTTGCCAAAATGTTTTAAACAAAATGTAAAGCTGAGCACATTGTGTTATTAGGTGTTGGTAATCTAAAATAATGTCTTCTATATTTTTTATACTTTAAACAGTTATGCAATTATCATGTGGGAAGTGATGTCAAGGAAACGGCCATTTGAAGGTAAGGCCGCATCTTCCTTTATGTTTCCCACCTTACATAAAGGTTAATCCTGATATCTGGGTACTAGGGGACTTCATTGTGTTTTTTTAATTATAATGTTGTTTTTTAAAGAAACATAAACTTATTGGATGAACTGTAAATACTATATCTGCAAACTGAATTATTCCTTCTATAGCAAGCTATTTATATTGCATGTATTTCTAATGACTGCATGATGTCTGTTTTGCCAGAGGTTATAGACCCCTTGCAGATAATGTTCAGCGTGTCACAAGGACAACGACTAGACTTAAGTGAAGAAAGTTTATCAATGGACATTCCTCATCGAATGCTCATCATAAGACTGATGGAAAGTGGATGGGCACAAAACCCAGATAAAAGACCATCGTTCTTAAGTGAGTTTACCTTGCGTAATGAGAAAAGATTTTTAAATTATGAGATTTCTGCTGGACCTGGTAATTACAGACCAAGGTTATAGTAGCAAAGGGGAAGTGGTAAAGATGTGAAGAAATATACATGCTCGGTCTTGTTTCTTAGGATAAGGGGCTTGGCTGATTCCACCATGTATATTCCACCACTTTTATGAATGCCATTACATGAGTACTGTAAAACCATGTTGTTTGTTGAAGTCTTTTACATTTACCATCTCTTAATTTCACTGTAAAAAAGCAGCATGTTTTGTTTAACTACTTGTGTTTGGAGGGTTTTTTGTTCATTGTTGGAAGAGGATTTTGGTTTCTTAAGGTGGGGGAAGTGAGTATAGAATAAGTACTGTGGGATTTACAAGCAAGCTGGGGAACACACCAACAAACCATTGCACATCAGATAAGCCGTGGTAACTTCATCTTGTGTTTGCATCTCAGTATAAATCTATTTCACTGAGGCTTTACCTTTGATTGTTCCCCCTCCTTTATCAAACAAGAAGTTAACTTTTCATCTTTTCTATGTTCAGCTTTTTGTCCATGAAACCAAATACAGCTATGTTCAGCCTTTTTTAAAATCGATGGCAGAATTTAGAGAAAAGACTGAAGTGTGAGCTTGTAGAGATTAAAGTGGCATAGTGTGAACTGGAAAAGTTTTGGCTTTATGTCTGAAAGCCGGTGTTGGAACCTAACCAGCACACTTAACTTGCATAAAGGTAATTCCGTCAAAATTAGCAGACAGGGATTACCTGTTTTCAATTGTGAAATTTGCTCCTGTGAGCGTTGCATATGTCAGGGTGGTGAAGTGAACAGTGGTTCCTGCAGCTGCCTCGCTGTGCTTGTTTAATTTGCATGGGCTTTACAAACTTCCAGCTCCTTTAGAAAATGTGGTTCTAATTCAGTGTAGAAAGCTGTGTCACCTTGGACAGATTAAAATGTAGAGTAAGAGAGTTACTGAAAGTATTCAAACATAGAACAGTACAGAGATCTCTTGCTCAAAGATGCAGTTACTCAAATACCAGTGTTTTTTAGTTGGTGCTTTTTGCTTTTAGGGTTTGATTTGATTTGATGGGGATGAGGGAGGGGTCATATTTGTTTGGTTGTGTTCATAACTTTGGGGTTTTGCATCCATTTGCAGAGGACAAAATGGGAAACATCCAAACACATACAGCATCTCCATGTTGAGTTTACAGTCCAAAATAGCTTTCATTACTTTTTAAGGCATTTTGATTTTTGCTTTAAGAACATTTTGAAATGTCAGGTTATGTTGGAGTGAGTCTGATTTGTGTGTAAATTGTGGATTTTTTTTTTCAAGCAAATTCAAGGAAATATATCTATTTACAATATTTTCTAAAATAAAAAAAAAAAATAGACTCATCATGTTATTTCTGTATGCATTCTTGCTTTCCTCTACCAATTAACAAAAAGGGGATTAACTGAAGTGATTATTACCTGGGATATGTACTACAGTGTGACCAAACTTGGGTCCTGTTATTAGTGCTGTGTCTGTAGTAAGACAGTCTTTGAAAAAAAGCATATCATTGCTTTTCCTCTACTATCATAAAAAGAAAGAGGAAGTTACAAAAGTGTTGCAAAATTAAGGGAAGTAAAGCTCACTATTGGGAAATTTTGCAGTTACCATAGGACAAGGACGCAGACACACACAAAAAAAACACCAAAAGCCCCTTTTTGTTAAATAAACTGTAAATAGAAAAGCTCAGCTAACCTGTCTGTTCCTCTTAGAAACAGAGGATAAAGACTGCTTATCACCGTCTCTATGTATATACTTGGAGTGTTTACCTACAATTTAATTATAGTCAACAAAAATTAACAATACTAGTATTTAAGTGTGGAAAATTATATGCCTTTAAAACTCTGGTTTAGCTGATACAAGAAAATAAGAATCCCAGTATTGAATGTATGTCTTGAAGATGCTAGTGGGTAAAAGTTAATAGGGAAGAAGAATGGTAAAATTATAATAAAAAGTAAAAATATGTTAAGAGGGGTGCAGTGTGATGGATTGTTAGTATGATAAGTGAGTTCTGCTGAATCAGTGAGTTCATGGAAATGCAGTAGAATTCTGATACATATCATCCTTTCCTGAGGTTTTATTGTATTTGAGCACAGATTCAAAGATATTTTTATAATATAGTCATCTCAAAATTTGCAATATTTAGTATTGTAAACTTTTGGAAGCAAGGGAGCATAGCAGAGGTGGTCATTTCTTTATTGTATTGTCCTGTGCCTCCCTCTGTGAGCAGATTGTTTTAGCTTCTCTGACTTGCTGCCTTTGATGAGAATGAGAACAGTACCATTTGGTTTCACTGGATGTGATAGTCAGTGCCTTGACTATTCCATCCTCACATGCCCTGCCTCAGAGCATGTATTCTGGATAGTGCTGTTTTGGGGGTGTGTTTATTTTCCTTGTATAAATTTTTAACACCTCTGCTGGAGTGGGAAATTAGCAACCCACTCTGAGGTCTCATGGTGTTTGGTCCCATCCAGCTAATCAGGCTTGATGGGTCTACCTTGAAACATAGCAAACTCACCAGTCTGTCCATTCCAGGAATGCAAGACTTGCAGCACAGTCCTGGATCTCTTTTGTTACAGAGTGATGAGGTGGGTAGATCAGGACAGGGTTTCTTTTAGTAGTGTGAACTGTTTTAACATGTGGAAGCAGGAAACTTCTATTTTGCAGCATGTGATTTGGTGTATGTCAATAGGCACATTATTTTTGTAAATGTAAGAAAGATGCTCTAGCAAACTGACAAGTTGATTTCTACTTCAAACCATTCACAAAGTACTCTTTCTTTGTTTAGAATGTTTAATAGACATTGAGCCAATTCTGCGGACATTTGATGAAACAGCTATGCTGGAAGCAGTAATTGTGTTAAAGAGATCAAAGGTAAGTAGCTTTTGTTACTGTCGTGAGTTGGTCAAATAAGTTGGTAACTTTTGCTTGCTAAAAGAAATGTGATCTCATTTGTCATTTATCTAATCTTGTTTCTGGTTGAAGCATGTGTTTGTACAGAGCTGTCATCTTGTCTTATAGCAGAAATTTAATACAGGTAAATGTCTCTTCCAGTCACTGTATGAATCACAATGTATTTATAAGAGTGGAAAGAAAGCAAATGTGGAGCAGATTTCTCTAAATATACCTCTGAATCCCCAAAAGGTAAATATTTTACATGTTGCATTTGGTAAGTCGGGATCCTGTGAGCTTAAGGAAGGGTTAACTTAGTAAAGGGAGTTGTTCTGCACTTTACTTTCCTGTGCAGTCAGGAAAGGCATAAAATTCATCACTTGAGCTGGAATGTAACAAATGTGTAGCCATATAGAGCTATTTTGATCCTTAATGCTTCTGCTTTTGGTTCTTACTAGTATTTAAACTTGTATAAAAAATTGCTGTCACCTTGAGAAAAATGCAAGTATTAGGATTATATGATTTCTTCAGATTTACTGTATTTTATTTGTGCTGTCTATTGAGCATTTAGATAGCAGTGATGGAGTAATTATCTGAAAAAAAATTGCAGCTTCATATTTATTTAACATTCATGTTTAATATACACCTGGATTTATTTCAGGAAACATATTTTGGCTCCATACAATGTGGTGCACTTCCCCTTCGGAGCATCTCTCCAGATACAGCAAAACTCAACTCTGTCCAACAGTGTAATATCCTTTCATCAGGTGAGATACTCTTGACTTTGTGTAAATTTAAGTTGCCATTGCAGCTTTACACTCCCGTTGTGACATTGCATTTGCTTAGTAGAAAATTGGGTCTCTGTTTATGTTGGAAAATAATATGTTTTTTAAACTTAGTGCTTTGAGTAAACTAGAGTTTTTAAGCTCTGATTTTCTGTTCCTGTCACTTGAGAAATCTCCACAGCTCATGGCTTCAGTTTTCGTGCTCTGGGTTGTTAGTGCAGAGACGACATTTACTTGTCCCTGAAACTCCTGGTGGCTTAGTTAACTGCCTTTTTTTTCTTTGCTTTTTAATCTGTGAACTACTTCTAAATATAAAAAGGCTACACATTTTTAGGCATTCTTGAAGCTGAGTAAACTCAAAGTTTCCAGTTCAGCTCAACCTCTAGATCATTTTTAATTCAATTAATAAAAGTGGCTTTAATAGATTGCCTTGCAAAAGTATCTGCACAGACCTTTTGTAGCTGTCCCTTTTTCTAAATAAAAGTTGGCAAAATCCCTGGAGAAAACTCAGTTTTGAAGTTCTGATGACATGAGAAGCCAGGAAAATGCAATGGGACCAAGGTGGAATAGCAATATATTGTGAAACTAAAACTGCATTTAAGTTTATTCCCTTGATGGAATGCAAACATATTTCAAAAGAATGGAGTATCCTCTGGCTTTGCAGGGATCAGTAATGTGAAAGGAGGCAAAAAATTGACTTCACTGCTATAAAGTAAGGACATAAATTAAGGGTTTTTTCCCTTACGTAGCAAGCTTTTCTTGGGCATTTCTTTTAGTTTGAGCAGCTCTTTTCCCTCTTCCCATTTCATTTCTGATTTAGAGAGTAATCTTCTAATATACTTTGTTTTGCTAGGTGAACTTTTGACGTCCCTTTGTAAAATATGTTTCTTTATTCTCCTGGTATTCTACTAGTCCTCCTCATGCATATTCTAACTTAAGTGATCAAACTAAGAGTACCAGACCTCTACTTAGTACTATGACAAATGTTTCTCTGTCTTAAAAAAACCCTTTACTCAGTGTACCTTAGAATTGTATTTTTCCTTTCTCACAAGATCCTTTTTTACAGAATAATCTACCCAGGGTTTTTTTTCCTCATCTCGCTTCCAATCATTAGCCCTGCTTGAAGCAGAAAATTTAAATCTCATATTTTCCTTCTGAATTTCCACTTCTGTCACTCCAGTCTTCTAGGTCAACTAGGTTCTTTCTAAATAACTTGTGTTAACCTGGGTTTTTTTCTGAATGACATCTGGATAAATCTCATTAGCATTGAGGGAGCTGGAGTTGTTTAGCCTGGAGAAAGGGAGGCTTAGGGGAGACCTTATTGCTCCCTACTACCTGAAAGGAGGTTGGAGTCAGGTGAGGGTTGGTCTCTTAACCAACAAACAATATTAACAAGCAATAGGATGAGAGGAAACGGCCCTGTGTTGCACCATGAGAGGTTTAGATTGAATATTAGGAAAAACTTATTCACAGAAAGGGTTGTCAAGCATTGGAACAGGCTGCCCAGGCAAGTGGTTGAGTCAGCAACCCTGAAGATATTCAAAAGACAGCTAGATGTGACACTAAGGGACATGGTATAGTGGTGGACTTGGCAGTACTGGGTTAATGGCTGGACTTGATGATCTTAAGTCCTTTCCAACCTAAACGATTCTGTGTTTTTATGATTATACTTTTTATGCTGTCATCACTGGTCAAGGTCATTCATATCAGTAAGCTCCCAGTAGTTTTATCTTTATGTTATTAAATTAAACATGTGTGCCTAAGGACCAATAACAATCTATCCCAGCAGAGCTAATTAAAACACTTCTCTAAAATCATCTTTCACTCACAGTGGTTGTCTGCTAATTGTTTCTCATTCATGCAGTAGATAATATCTGCTGCTTCACACTACATAGCTCTGCCCACCTTTCTCTCTTGTTCATGAAATAAAATACTAATTACTGTGAGTTCTAGTCCACTATTTTTAAAATACTTAGAATGTAATTTCTTCCTCATTTTCCTATTCCTGCTCCATGTACTTATAGACATATTCTTCTACAGGTCCACAGTGAACTGGGAATACACCTTCAGATTCCCCCATTGGACAGGTAATCCCGAGTTGTCCATGGGGCTACCTCATTTTGTCTTTAGATGTTCATCTGAATTCTTATATCTGCATCTCTCTGGTTCATAGTTAACATCTCTTTATTAAGTAACACTGTGAAAGTCTGTAATGGAAACTGTTTACAGAATTAGGCATATGTCCTGTACTATATTTCTCATCAGCTGTTTGTCATCTCTTCTTTGAGTCATTCCTACTGCTGCTTTCACACCCATCATCCTTTTCTACTATAAAAAAGTCCTAAAACTAGAAACCATTAAGATTCCCACCTGATAGAAATACTTTTTTCCTTTATTTGCAAAAGTTTACATGAAGCTTTCTTGAAGTCATATCATGTTTATATGGACTACAAAAAGCTTCCATTGGCCTCCTACTGAATGTTAACATTGCTCCTAATGTCCTTTTCCTACACCTGAATCTTTCTTTTAATGTTATCACCTTCGTTGTGCTGCCAAACTTCATCAAAATAAATAAGTCTGCTTTCATGCTGACTTCTAGTTACTTCTCCAGCTACTCAGAGGATTTATTTTGTTCTTTTAGTCCCTACAAAAAATTTCTGTCAAACAGAGCTTTTTCATTAAAGTTCACATCTACCAGATTTATAGTCTCAGTGCTTCTTTAAAATAGAACAAGACCCCCAAACCCATGGTCAAGCCCTGGTACAGTATAAGGGACATAAATGTTCAGAACTTGAATATAAGGACTAATATGTTGTATATCGTGTGAAAGTAGTTTGTTTATAAGTTGTTTTATGGAATTGCTGTAAATAGTCTCTGATGGCTTTATTTTATTTGAACATAGAAATAATACATCTTGCTCTTTTTTTTTTCTCCTTTTTTTGTTTTTCTAAGATGGAAATTCTGGGTGTCTACACTCTCTCAACAGCCAGAGCATGGATGAAAATATCTTTGTAACTCAGAGTGCCAAACTTCTTGTGCATCCATACAGTAATGTTCCCTCATTTGAAAGGAGTATTTCAGATGCCTCAAATTCTGCATCATGTTTACTGCAGTCATCACCGATTCCTTCAGGTACAGCAAACACTATTTAATTACAAGACTGACAATAAGTGTTCTAACATCAAATATAAGTGTGTATGAAATGGAAACTGGAACTGTTTTCCATCTTTTTTCCACTGCTGTAGCAGTGCTGCAGTCCAGCAGAATGGGTAAAAAACTTAGCTTGAACTAGTCATCTCTGTTGCCTGTCGCTTCTCACTTTTTAGGCCTGTCAGTCTTCTGTTCAGTATTGATGAGGCAAAGAGAAAGCAGCAGCTGTGTCAGCATCTCACTCAGAATCTCAGCTAACATCCTCTGTTAGTCGAGAGCCCACTACATTATATTCCTATCCATCAAATAATGTTAAAAGTGTACTTCCAAAAAATTAACACAAATTTTAATGTATGATGACTTATTCAGAAATACATTTTTTTGAGGAAACACACAACAATGTGCAATTTTATAAAGATCTGTTGCATCATCCCTCTTCTGGAAATAGGAGAACTGACACCTTTTCACTGTGTGAATCCTTATATTGAGGAAAATACCAGGAAGCTACAGGGATGTTTTCAGTAAACTTCAATAAAAATCCCCCTGGAAAGTGAATTTACTACGTCTCTCTTTTTAGTACCATGTCGGGTTGAACACTGGAACAGGTTGCTCATGGAGGCTGCAGAAGTACCATCACTTGGAGATGCTCAAAATTCAGCTGGACAAGGCCCTGAGCAACCTGAGTTATGCTTGAAGTTGGCCCAGCTTTGAGCAGGCTATTAGACCAGATGACCTCCTTGAGGGTTCCTTCCAACCTAAATTATTCTGTGATTCAGATAGAAAAGATACTCTAACCATCAAATTTGACAAATTGGAACATTTTAGGAGCTCTTTCTCAGCTGCTTCTTTGTTCTGTGGCAACATTTATTGACAGACAGTTACAATCCCTTCTTTTTTTTAATCCTCTCCAGTCTCAAATTCTGAATTGGAAACCAAACAGCAGAATGAAGCTCATCAATGGATCCAAAGTAAAAGAGAAGAAATTGTTGATCAGATGACTGAAGCATGTTTGAATCAATCACTGGATGCTCTTCTAGCAAAATCTTTACTCATGAAAGAAGATTATGAACTTATAAGCACCAAACCTACAAGGACATCAAAAGTACGACAACTGCTTGATACTTTAGACAGCCAAGGAGAGGAATTTGCCAGCATTGTAGTACAAAAGTTGAAAGATAACAAACAGCTAGGACTTCAACCTTATCCAGACATTGTATCTAATTCTCAAAAACTGTATCCTTAAATTTATTCTCTCTGTATGAAGCCATGTGAATATTTCTTACAACATGACTCTTGTTTCTATATAGTAGTTTTATATATGTGTTGCTTTGTCCTCACTATGCCTTTATAGTCTCAGAAATGATGCTGAGTTCATCTAGCCTGCATTTGGTGAGTGACCAGTTAACCAGCTGGAGTGCAGTCATATAGCCGAACATTTTACACTCTTTGAGTCACTTTTTAGAACAATTTGGTTATACATGACAAAGAAAAACATTAAATATTCCCTATTTTACATATTTGCTGTTCATACATAGCCTTTCACCTCACAGGACTGAGACAGCTCATCTCAACGTGCAGTATTTGTATTTCTCCCTCCATCTGCTCCTTGCCATAGAGGAGGGAAATAATCTAGATGCTCTATTCTGGGGTTATTATGCTGTGTGTGTAATAAAGTTTGCATTGCATTTTTACAGGGTTTTTTTAAATTGTTTTGTTTTGTTTTGTTTTCCCCATTTTGTTGCCACAACAAGCACTTCAGACCACTGCACAAGAAGAATGTGAGTCCAAAGAGAAGCCTTGAGGGCAAGGAAGATATTATGCTTGTCACCTTTGCTCTGCTCAGAACTGATACATTAGAAAGGCTGCAACTACAGCCTTGTACGTTATTTGGTTACAACTGCTTAAACTATTCTTGAAATCATGGCAGGATGAGATCCAGGTAGAGGTTATATAAGGGTATCCTCAGTTAATACGTCTTTTACATTTCCCTGGTTAATACCTCCATTACCTTTGTCATCTGCCACAAAATCATGTTGCTGGATCAAACTTCTAATTAAATTGTATTTTTAGCATTTACATGATGAACAGTAGTTGGGTCTGTACAAGGAACAATCATGCACTGCCCTGCCCTGCCAAGCTGGAAGTGATGTGCACGAGTCTCTCCTGCCGTGACCTGCCTTAACCTTCTCTGGACAACATCTCTGCCATCATTTTTTTTTGAAGGATAATGACGACAGGTTGAGGCACAAATGGGGCCACCTGAGAAAAAAAGGTATGTGGAATTTTTTTTTCAGCTCATTTCAGAACACCTTAGTGACTTTACCTAGGTGACTTCAAGACTGGTAAAAAAATTACTGGTTTAACTTGTCAGAACACAGCACAGGCAGATTATTTTTGCAAGCACTAATAAATTTCAATTTCTGCTAACACTGTATGAAATTTGGTAAGTGATGGCTGTTTCAAACCTATAGAGATGTGAGATCTGCTGCACTGCATTGATTCAAGCTTCAGTGTGGTCATTAGTAATTGCCAACAGCTTACTTTTTCACTACCTTTATTATTTTGTGAACTGAATCACAAGAGTTCAGTGTGTTGCACAGAATAAGAGTGGCTTAAAATTCTTTTTAATAAAGTAAGTATTTGGTATAAACTGGGAATTTGCCTTTTATCCTTCTTCTCTGTGGAGGCTAGAAAATGCAAACTAGAAAGTTGAGACCAGGATCATGAAGCAATGACTAGCTGTGCTTTTTTCTAGAGCAAACCTAATGATGTCTAGCAGGGAGTCCAAAATTCATCGTGTATTAAGAGCTTTCCTGAACTGTGGTTTTATTAACTATAAGAACAGAGGCTTCTCTAGGGGTAGATCTTTAAAAGATTATATCTTGTTCTTGTGATAGGGTCTGCATGAGTTACAAACTTTATAATTTGTTATTTTAAACTATGTGTAAGAAGGTAAAAGCATTCCTGCTATGTGTAAAATGCCTTGGCCTGCCAGGTGGCATCTGATATCTCATGTCTGGGGATCTGCACCTTCTTCCCATTTCCCAGCTCATTGAAAGCAACTTGTGCTTTAGAGCAAACAGAGCTTGGTCACAGCAAGATGCCATCCTTCCTAGCTCTACATGCTGTGCACAGGTTGGCAGACTGATCTGAATTTGTGATTTGGGCTGTTGGACCTTCTCAGTGCTGCTGCAGCCCCTTTGCAGTCACTGGCCTCTGTCTGTTCTGCAACCTGCCAGTGAGCCTGCTGCAGCTTTTCTGCCAGAGCCCATGAGCTGCTCTGACCCAGAAGCCACGAAAGGATGGGTGGGGGAGCCCTGGGGAACAAGTGGGTTAGATTTCAAAGCTATGCCAGGTGCTGCCCACTGTGGTAATTTTCCACCCACCAGTCTCATCATAGTGGAGAGGAAACATTGGACATAAAAGATGAGGACCTACTGTAAGACAGCTGGGTGAGGGCAAAGAGCATCCTGCTGCTTTCTAAAGTCTCCCCACTGACTGGCTTGGTGGTACAAACTAGTTTAGAATCATTGAATACTTATAATGATAAATATGGCCTACAGAGTCACATTCAGGAATGGTGCTGTCAGACTGCTGCAATTGCTGTGGGCTGGTCCCCTGCATGTGCCATCACCCAGAGGTGGTACAGCTGCAGGAAAAGTAATTTTCTACCCCCAGTCCTGAAAATGCCCACATCTGTAAGGGTGTAAGTGTTCTAGCCAAAGCTCAGCCTTCCAAGGAAACCCTGAGGCCACTCAGTTGAAAAACTCCATCCAATCTCCCTCTTCTTTTCTTGGACCCTGAGCCTCACTCCATGAGGGAGTAGAATCATAGAATAATTTGGACTGTAGGCAACATCTAAAGGTCACCTAGTCCAACACTTCTGCCATGGTCAGAGACATCTTCAACTAGACCATGTTGCTGAGAGTCCTGTCTAATCTGACCTTGAATGTTTCCAGGGATCACGCATCAGATACCACCTCTTTGGGCAACATAAACCTGCCCTCCCCAACATGTTAGGCACACACAGATTTCCTTGAGTGAAATGGGAGAGGAGGCAGCCACAGTCGGGATTTGAAGGATATAGGAGACATAAGGAGAATGCTTTGGGGTAGGCATGGGGAAAGGGAGTTGGAAGTTATGTACCTGATCCACACAGAATGTGTGGAGATAGATGTCTGAGTCAATATGAGCCAAAGTCTGACACTTCTGTTGTTTTACAGTTGTTTTAACAGTATTTTGTACACTCCTCACTTCTTCATAGCAATTCCTAACAGTTTTTCAGCTTTTTTGCTCCAGGGGAAAATGCTGCTGATGTTTCAGACTGACAATACAAGCTTTTCTCTGAGTCACAAGAGCTTTCTGAAAGCCTTTCAAAATGTGCATGTGGAAATGTCTTTTTTACATGTACAAGGGGAAAAATAGAAACATAGGACCACACATATTATTTTGCATTTGTTAGCACTAGATTTCATATGCCACTTTAGCACCTAGTCACTTAGTATTGGCTGATCCTCATGTTCTGCTCCCATACCTGGAGTTAACATGATTGGTAGAAGTTTCTTGACATGGTCTGTGAGCTAAGTTCTGTCCTGCATCAACTTCATGGTAAAGTAAGTAAAGATCTGATTTTACCAAGATTGCTTTTGTTGGTCATACAGACTCTTGCAGCTAATAGTGTTAGGCAGTGTGTTTTTAATCGGGGTTAAGCCTAAGTGCATCTGTTGTAGATGAGGACTGTAGGAGCTGGTGCTGGCTGAGCGCTAAGGCAGAGGTAAGGAACCGGGGAAAGCAGAGGACTTAGCAGAGGTGCAGCTGAGTTGTTTGCTGCAGCTGGGCAATGGTAAGGATGAAGAGGGATCTGGAAATAATTTTAAGTAGTCTTGCTTCCAAGACTTGTGCAGAGTATGAAAAGCCTTCCTAAGCAGTAATGGAAGTGTGGGCAAGAAACCAGGAAGTGTCACAGGTTTATTCAGGCAAGCATACCTCACTTTATTATTCCATAAGCAAATGTGTGCGTATATGTAACTATAACACACAGAAGAATTTCTGTGAGCAGTAAGTTGGTACAGGAGAAGCTTCACTTCAGAAGTCCTTGTTAAATCCTGCAAGACTATAAAAATCAATAAGAAAAACTTGTTACAAAGGCAGTCACATTCACTTCTTTATGTTATCCATCCTGCTTGCTTAAAATGCAAGATTAGGTGTAATCTTCCTTGGCAAAGGAACTAGATTTTGTGTTCACAGAAAAAATGTTCAAGAAAAAAATGTTTTTCATGCACAGTGCATTCTTTATGATTGCTCAATGTCGATTTATGTGCTGTTCCTGTAAATCTGTGGCTAATGTCCAGTAGGAGGTATCCACGAGGGTCACACCAATAGTAATATGGGATGCATTAATGCAGAAAACTTTGTTTTTCAGGCAGCTTCTACAGAATTAAAGGGCTGAGGCTGCTTCAGGAGGGAGATATCTGGGCAATATAAAGGTGGTATGATAACAGAATCCCTCAGCATAACGCACAATCAGAAAACAAGTTTGCTGCCTGAAATCAGAAAGAGGACAAACTCATGTTCAAATTTCAGAGTGAAAGTAATTATGCGTTCTTGAAAATATGCATTCTGGGGTTTAGACTGTAGTTTGTTAACACTGCTCTGGCAAAAAAAAAAATTTAAGATGAGAGGGGCCCAAATTAAGGAACATGGCACTCAGCCCCTCTGTTCTTCAGCAAAGAACATCCCTGCAAAACAATCCTGTTGCCAAAATGTTTCTTGCTATAATGTACGTAACCACAGACTTGCAGGCAGCTGGAGTTGTGCAATCTTTTCTGGCAGACTTAGAGAGCTCCCATATTTCATAGATACAGCAGATTGAAAGCTGTTTATTCAAAATATTTGCCATATACCTGCTTTGAATAGGGTTTTAAGAAAGCACAGCCATTTCTGTGTAAACATTAACCGTATACCTGTCTAGGTCTATCACAAAAAGCATGTTTGTACAAGATGTTACTTTAAAAGGAAGAAACAGGAGGAGCGCTGGCTTATGATAGAAAGATTTGTGTTGTTTTTATTACTCCTTTGGGTCACCATGGGTTGCAGAATGGAACGTGCAATATGATGCAACGCTCCTGCTTGTTTTCTTATTGGACTGCTGAGGCTCACTAGAGAGACCTCTGTGCTTGAATTCAATTATTTCACTTTCCTGTATGAATTAGTGATCCACTCTGCTGAAGTCCTATTTTCTGGTGCCTCAACCCCAGCAACTTAAGACTTTTCACCTGCCTTTCAGATGCCCTTTGGCATTTGAGTGCAAATATTTTGCCTTACTACTGGGTTCTTCATGGAAAACGAAAATCCCAGGTTAGTGCTCTTGCATTCATTAACTTTTTGCTCTGCCCAGAAGACTTCGTTTTCTGGATGTTTACTTGTTTCCGTAGATATTGTGCCGTATACCGTACCGGCTTTGCAAACGTATGTCATAGACAGAGCAACGTACCCTTTTGGAAGACAAAGCTGAATACGTTGGGTAATTTCTTTCCTTGCTTTTCTTTATCTTAGATACTTTTAAAGCTTAATTAATTAAATGAGATCTTAACACCAGATCAGCCTATTTTGTGTCTTGTGCATCATGTCATAAATTATTACAAAAGCCACAGATCTGTAATTCTGAAGTTACGATAAATAATTGAGTTGATAAATATTTAACTGCATAGATTAAACTTCAAGAAAATATATTTTAAAAAAAGAACAAACTAAAAAACAGAAAAATGTTAGGTTTGAAATGAAATAATACCTATGATTTTCATTAAAGTACTCTCTTTGCTAGTCTCCCCTCTCTGAAAGCCTTTCTGATTTGTTAAGTTGTGCTACCAGAATAAATAGTATTAGTAAAAGTCTCATTGTGACTAAGTCAACAAGAAAGAATTAGACTGCATTTGTTTCACATTAACATCTGGCAAAGTGTTGTGCTTGGTTTCAGTGACATGTAGATGAAAGGCTTTATTTTCCCAACCTTCCCTTTGTCTTATTCTGTCACAACTTCTTAACGAATGGAGAGCAGCAGCTGCCTGCTTCTGCCTGCTACTGACCTCAGCTGAGGCTGTTTGGAGAAAACACATTACAAGAGAGTCTTTCTTGAAAGCTCTCATTAATTTTAGTATTCATGCTACTGTAATAAAAATAGCAGCTAGAGAGTGTTAACTTACCCGTCCTGGTCAAACAGATGTGTTTATTTAGAGCACTGTTCTCTTACAGCAGTCTTCTGCTAAAGGAAGCAGGCATATCACCTACCCTCTGGTAAGCTGCTGCCTTCTCTTTTTAATACCTTTCTTAGATTCGGGCTACAGTAGCTTCTCTCTCAAATATCCTCTGTGATTTCCTTTTGAGTGGGAAGGGTGTGCTGGGGGTAGAGCAAGTCCCTCCTATGAGAAAACCAGTATATGCATTTGGAGCATGTAAAGCAATAATTCATTAAATATTTTTATAAACATAAAATTTGAAAACCAAAAGGAAGTACTTGTTTCCTACTGAGTAGGATATGTTTTCTTCAAATGAGATCAAAGTGGATTTGTTGTTGTTGTTGTTTGGAGGGGGCGGTTATTATTATTTCTAAGAATATTTTATAATCTTTCCTCATAATACATAATCTTGTTTTGTTTGCTTTCCTCTCTCATTGGAAAATGTTCAACAGTATCATCTGCCATGAATACTCCCTTTAAGACCTGCTGAAGCTCATGCTCAAAAATAGTATTTTGAAGTTTGGTCTACATATTTTTGGTCGTGTTGAAAACTGCTAGGTCATCTGATTTTTTGTTCCAGCAGTTACTAATATAAACTTATATGGTTGGGGATTTTTTTTAATATTTGGTCACTTTGCTACAGGCAGGAAAAAGTTGCCCAGAATGTACTTTGAGAAAATAAGAAATTGTTCATGAATTTTAAAATCCTTTCTATACATATATTGATTTATAATACAAACATAATTAAAATGTGCTAGATTTTAATTTTAAATGTTTTCTTAATCTCTCTAATTTTCTGACTGAAAATAGAAAATATTGGATGCCTATCAGTTTTCTTACCTGGCTTGACTTTGCCTGGTTCATTGATGGCATCATTATTGAGAAATTAGGTGGAGGTAGACAAAAATCACCAAAAGAAAAGGCCATGGGATTAAGGATAACTTTGATGTCTAGCATGTTCCAACATCTTCGATAAGAGATGACTTTCTAAAATGCCTCAGCTTCCAAGACAATCTACTGAAGGCAGCGATATTGGATCTCTGAGAGATTAATTGATTTACTAATATTTCTTGAATGAAAAGCTGAGAATTTCAAAATATTCTAGCAAATAGGGGCACCTCAGTCCCTCTGGAAGTCTATGGAGCAGTTCATAAGACTGCTTCATAAGTCTGTAAGTTCCTATGAAAGTTCATAAGCACCTCCATAACCCCTGACCAAGCCTTGCTGAATCATTTGGCCAAGGTGAATTACCCCCTGAAGAAGGAGGCAATCATTCATGAGGCTGAAGACCCCTGAAGAATGGGAAGTGTCTGAGAAAATCCTGCCCTGCCAAACCGGCCCTGCAGGAACTTATAGAACTGTCTTTGACTTCAGCTCTGGTTTTCAGCTACTATCAAGCTGTCCCTTCTTCCTTCACTTTTCAATGTGACTTTTGGCAGTGGCTTGACTAAGAAATGACCTATTGAGGATTAGTTGTATGTGGTGTTATTGTTTTCTTTAATTTATCAGGTGTCAATCTACAAGTTCCTTTCCGTTCCTCTTTGGGAGGTAAACAACTGCAGAAGATTCAGGGCCATTAAGTCTGTCTGTACTCTCAAGGCATTGTGCTTTCTCTGAGAGGAAAATTTCCCTCCATTTGTTGAGGGAGCCCCTAAAGAAAAGCACGACCTGCATGGAAACAGAGTTCTACAGTTCTGTAATAGAAATCAGTTGCTGAGACAAAGCAGAGGCAAGTGTTTGCAGCTGTTTCATTTAGCCTGCTGTGGCCTCTGAGCCACATTGGCACGTTGATGCATGTCTGAGTCTCAGATTTCCAGAGAGCAGTAGCTCTTACTGCCTGTCACAGTCCATAAGGACCAAGAGAGTAGGGACCTTCCTTCATGTTAAAAAGGTTTTATGCCTTGCTCTTCAGCTTTCATACTCAAGAGCTACTAAAATACCTGTACTTATGTTTTTTATGCCATACAGTTTTATTATCGCAGTAGGGTTAGCCCTTAAACACTCAAACATGTTAAAGCAGAAGGAAAAGGACATCAGTTTTTTTATTAGTGCATAAATGAAATCTTTTTGTTCTCAGGAAGCCCCTCTGAATGATAGCAGATTCACAATAAGGATTTGTTGTCAATTATAATACAGGATTTAACAACTGAAAATGGTCATCTCTCTGTAAGAAGTCAACTTGTTACAGCTCTGATTGTTGTCCCCAGCAAATAAGCTCTCCCAGACTGTAATTTTTACTGGCTTTCACTTGGATTATGTGCATCCTCAAAAGGTGACCTACAAATGGCCAAATGATAGAGAAGAGCTATTGAAGTCTTCTGGAGCAGCTAGGCTTCTCAGTTTAAGCTTTTTTGGCACCAGTGAGAGACAGAAGCAACAGCGGTTAAGGAAAGACTGAATGTGGCACTTGGTGCCATGGTCTAGTTGACAGTGTGGTGTTTGCTCATACATTGGATTCGATGATCCCAGAGGTCTTTTCCAAGCTACTGAATTCTGTGAATTGAATTGATTCTGTGATGGTCCCAGAAAATGGAGATTGGTGGCATGAGGATGAAGTAACAGTAATGACAGCAGGGCAGGACTACAGGCCAGGTTTAGTAGGACCAAAATAGCAGAAGCTATAAATGAGATACAGGGTGAGACTATGGCAACAGACACTGGCCATATCCTCAAATTGTTTTCATCGCTTCCTGGATGTAACAGCATATTTGACAAAAAATTATTCTTCTTTTGCTATTATACAAGAAGGTCTGTACAGGAGACCATTTCCTGTATTCTCCTAATTTTCTTGACAGCATGAAAACTTTGCAGAGCCTTAGCCTAAGACTGAAGTCATGACTTCATGCTAGACCTAGCCTAGCATGAAGACTTGTCCTAGCCTAACATGAGTCTTGCCTCAGTCAAACAAACCTCATTTAATTACTGAAGACATTGTCCTAAATAAAGAAATCAATAACAGCTTCAATATTGTGATGCCACTGAATGAAATCAGTGTACTGTCAAAGCTAATGGGAATACTGTTGGTTGCTGGGCGCAGAAGGTACAGAGAGAGGCTATTTAAAGTATTTTATTCTAAAATTGCTACTTTCTTTCAGACTTTCAGCTGATATAAATTGGGATAACTTAATTAAAGTGAAGCTACACATTTTGGTTATGGAAACTGAATCTCTTATTCTTTGATTTGCAGGCTATACCTATTTGTGGACTTAGTTCAGGGTATGTTTAAAAGTTTTGCTAATGTGACATCTCTCAAAGTACAGACTTTTTAAATGGTTTCATCCATAGTCACTTATTTATAAAAGAAATATTTTCCTACACAGCTCTAGTTATGCATTTTTAGCAATCTGAAGTAATCTTCTGTTAGCACAAGAGATATAAGAAAAATGCACAAAATGTGTTACTTAAGAAAATAATTTAATCTTTACCTTTGTGCTGTTATGAAAGCTACAGATCATCTTCGTGCTACTAGACTTTAGTGGCATTGCCAGTTTAAGTGCTCAAATTCCCTTTAGCTACCAGGACTAGACCTCAAAGTTCAGGTTTGATACCACATACACAAGTTACCAGTTACTTATGTTTCCTTTTTTACAGGAAAATAACTTTATGTTATTTACTAGTGAGACTTAATCTCAGGAAAACTGATATTCATTGGTTTTGATCAATACTTGCATAGCTACACATTCACATCACCTGGGGAACAACCGTATTTTAAATTCTCACAGCATTGAACTGTACCCACTTAAATATTTGTACATTTTGGCTCACAGGCCAAGCTCACATTTAATTTATGTTTTTTTAATTCTACAGACAAATCCTAGATCTGGCACAAAAAGCACAAGATGATTTTAAACTAGCTCTGCTGACAAAGTAATATTAATACAGAGCTCTGCCCCAGATTTCCAGCATGCTGCTGTCCTGAAGAGCTCTCTGGACAGCTGCCATCACAGGAGGGTTTTCTGCCAACACTTCACATACCCAAGGAGCCTAGGTACTGAGACAGAGGTTCTGGAAGTATTGGCTAGTATTTCAGGGCAGGGATGTGACTTTTTCCTCCTTTGTGTCACATACAAGGAAACTGGGAATGCTTACCAGGAATTTTAAGGGAGATACATGACTGGTGTTTTCGATGCTTGAAATTCCTCCCTGCAAACCAGGATGATGTTTTTTATTCATAGAGGGACAAAGTGAGAAGTAAGAGGAGTCACCTCTGTGTGAGAGAAGGAGGTCAGGAAAAACATGGGAGACTGCAGTCATGCTTGAATGCTTATGGCAAGAGTTAATATTTAACTTTATTCCAGTGTTCCCACAGTGTTCCTGCAGTTAGGAAAAGTGCCAATCGGATGAGAAAAGCATTTAATCTTTAAAGAGAGTTTGGTAACTTTTAATATTTAATACTTATCCAGCCTCATTTGTTATTTGATTATTTAGGAAAGTGAGTTGTATCAAAAAACTGGGAAAGAACATAGAATTATGAAATATTCAGAGCTGCTAAAACAGACATACCTTACAAAGGAAAGCAAACCTTTTGGGAAGTTTGGGGAGGGCAGGTTGTTTTAAACTGGCCATTGACCCACACTTTAAAAACATAAATTTGTGAATCAAATGTAATGTATAAATGTAATGTTTCAGAATTTGTAATCAAATGTTTTTTGCCAGTGTAGCATGGATGAGCTTTATTCTATTCAGAGAACTTGGCTTTAGGTCATAGGATTTTGAGGAATTTTTCTTTAGAAGTGTTTCAGAGTGTGTATGGAGGTAGGAAGGGAATGAGAAATAGATTTCTTTTGAGACAGGCACAAGAAAATAGCCATTGTTCTAAGCATTATTATAAGTCAGCAGGACACAAGAACTTAGACGGTCACTGCAGTCCTGGCATCCTTATCCCTAAGGAATTCAGACCCCAAGCAGTGCAGTGTGTGCACAAGGCCAATTATCAGTGCATCTATGCAGTAAGGTCGCTTATCCCAGCTCCCAGCATACTTGGATCTTGCCCTGCGAGCACCGGGGTGGGATGTTTTTACCGTCATGTTTTGTTGGACTCTCTTAAACAGAAGTGTTCCAGGGACAGAGTGTTCAAAACTCAATCCATGTGCAGTGCTAGTGGCTTTTACTGAGAAGTCAAGTGAGGTTAATAACTAAACAAGCTACATTATTCACTGCAGCAGCAATCTCACCTCTAGGAGCAGCTAAAACTCTTCTCTTTGTGCTCATATTAACATTTACCTTGTGACATTAGAGGTTTTGAATATCTTTTTCTGTCTTTTCTCTTGTGTGCCTCGGCAAATAGTTTTCAAGTGGATGTGGTTTGATGAAACAAATAATAATGACATAAAGTTCTTTCTGGAGTAAGAGTAAAATTTAGGAAGAAGTATTCCTGTAGAGGACACTCCAGCTGTATTAGAACATGTTCCCAGGAGTACAGTGTCTCCTTCTTCCCTGAAATATCTTCAATAACATAATGTAAAATTACAATTCAAGACAAATAATAAAAGTGAACTGAGAGTTAACAAAAGCTTTAGGATCTATAATCAAGGACAGTGGGCTCAAATTTATCTATTAAAAAGGTATGGAACAGTGAAAGTTAAGAAGATTCACTAATTTGTGTGTTTCCTGAACTGCAAGATAAAAGAAGGCAAAATAGTTGGTCTTTGTACTGGTTTTGCCTTGTATGCTAATTATCTTATCTGTGTCTCTGATGTCATGTGCATTACAGAAGGTGTTCTCTCCTCTTGCTTTCAGGTAATGTGACTTGAAGATGCCGGCCCCCTGGCAAATGTGCTGTGATAAAAAATCCAGAACTAAGAATGGAAAAGCTGAAATGGACAATATGGCAGAGATGACTGAAAAAATGCAGATGAAAAAAGAAATCACATTACTAAATGGAGTTTCTTTAATTGTAGGGAATATGATTGGCTCTGGGATATTTGTATCACCCAGAGGTGTTTTAATGTACAGTGCTTCCTATGGACTCTCGCTGGTCATCTGGGCACTTGGTGGGTTGTTTTCGCTGTTTGGAGCTTTGTGTTACGTTGAACTGGGAACATCCATTGTGAAGTCTGGAGGCAGTTATGCCTACATCCTGGAATCATTTGGTGCCATTGTGGCCTTCATCAGACTCTGGTCTTCCTTGCTAATTATTGAACCGACAACTCAGGCAGTGATAGCAATCACATTTGCGAACTATATTGTTCAACCAATTTTTCCTCACTGTGAGCCGCCATATGATGCAGTCAGGTTGATTGCAGCTGCATGTATATGTAAGTAAAGTTGTGATTGTTGGAAGTTAAGAGCTATAATTGTAGGTGCCCAGAGACGTTTTTCTGGATTTCTGTTTCTTTGCCTTCTGCAAAAAATAATTACTGCCTATCTAAAACATGTTGTTAGGAACTAATAATCTTTTATTCAGATGTATTTTATTTGGGACTGGGATTACTAGAGGGGAGAGGAGAATTACAACAGTGTGGCTGAGGAAAATTATGGCTGCTGATTAAAGATATATATATCTCTATGGTTCACTGACCTAATTGGCAGCCCACATTCGGTCCATGCTTTCTCTCCCCTATTTCTTGCAAATCACAAAAAATGAACATTCATATGGAATTAAAAATACTTTGCCTAACACAGTGTTATTTGTAGAGAAGTTGTGTAGTGTAATCAGACACTCCACAAGCTCCACTCCACTTCATCTTGACTGTATGTCTTGAGTGAGCTCAGAGATAAGTAAATCCATCCTCCAGTAAATGGACTATATTCAAATTCTGTTCTTATAAACATCGATATGTCAAGATAGGGTGTGTGTTCCTTTGAGGCTGTGCTGTAGCTTGAGCTTTCAAAAATGGTTTGAAATTGTACAGCTCAACAAAACTTCAAAAAAAGTATTTTTAATTTAAGATGATATAGTGTATACTGACAGTTTTGAAAAGGTGTTTTCTCTGTAGCCCTGACTCACCAGTGTGGTGCACAGGAAGTTCACCTCTGAAAAAGGCTCCATGGTATTGAGACCATCGTGACCACTCAGCAGTCTAAAGAGCAACTAACCCTCTTCCAAATTACTTTATCAGCTGAAATTCTCCACTTGCACAGGAAAGCAGTTATTTATTAGACCGGAGTTTCTTTCCTCAGTGTTCTGTGTGCTCCTCATGAAACCCTAACACTTAAGAATAGTCTTCGAATGTTGGTATTTCTCAAGGCTTCACTTTTCTTAGTTATTCTTACTGTAGCCTTCATGTGAATCAACAGTGTGCTTTCTGGTACGTCTGATTTCTGAGCTGACTTACGTGTGTTCAGATTCCTCAGGTGATCATGAATCTGATTTTCTCTGACAGTGGGAGGGACTTCGCTCCTATTGACTAAATCCTTAAAGAGCTGGAAGATTGCTTTCCTAAACTTCAGGGTCCTGACTTAACCCTTCACCTGATGCATATCCCTCAGGACTGCAAACTCCACCAGTGCATAATCACTGCAGCCCAGGCTGCCTCCGATCTTGATGTTCCCAGTTAGCTCACTTACATTGGTGACCATCAGGTCCAGTATCACATCCCCCCTAGTAGGGCTGTCTGTTCCTGGCTTAGGATGTTATCCTCCATGAATTCCAGGAGCCTCCTGGATTGCCTACAGCTCATGTGTTGCTGCTTGCCCAGCAGATGTTGGGGTGGTTGGAGTCCCCCAGCAGGAACAAGAGCCTGGGAGCACAATGCTTCCTGTAGCTGGAGCAAGAAGGCTTCATGATAGGCTAATTTTGAGGTGATAGACAGATGACATAGCCTCAAGAGTAATTTTCCTGTGTTTCCCTCTGGCAGGATGCTTTCTGAAAAAAGGCCTGCTATCTCCATATCACTCCTTTCTTAGTTTAATTCTCTTATCAGTTTCTGGGAATGTCTCCCCAGGTGCTGGGGTTTTCCAGGAAGCCATCAAGAGGCTTTTTTTCTCCTTTTGTGTGGCCTTTCTATCACCCTACATGTGAACAACTCTGTGGACTTCAATATAGTTTAAATGTTATCTAAAAGTAGCAAGAATTAGTCCTAAAATTCAAAAACCAATGTGTTTTGTCTTACCTACTGTCATGAAAACACAATCCTTCAGAAAACTATTGTGTAAATCTTAAACCAGATATTTCATCTTAACAAATCTAGATGGTCGTGAAGGGGTGAAATTTGAGTCAATTTTACTCTTTGAAAGTGGGGTGGCGTCTAGAAGGATGGATTTAAAATATAACTTCAATGATGTAAAACATCCAGTGCTCCTTTCATGCATATTCTCTTTCTCTGCAGGTTCCTTAACATTTATTAATTGTGTTAATGTGAAGTGGGGAACCCGCGTCCAAGATGTTTTCACATATGCAAAAGTTATGGCTCTTATCTTGGTGATATCTGTTGGCCTTTACAAAATTGGTAAAGGTAAGAATAATTTTCACTTACTTGAATTCTGTGAAATGAACCATATATGAGTTTCAAAATCCAGGCAGGGAAATCAGACTTCTTAAGACTTACATATGGAGCCTTGTTTATTCTGGGAAAAAAAAAGTCTGCCATAGGAAGATCACAGGATTTTTATGGTTTGTTAAGCAATAGGGTGTTAGTTATTCTTCTATCCATTGACAGCCAAGTCCTGTGTTGCTTGGCCTGAAGAGCAAACAGCAACTGCTAACTAGTTTAAAGACAGCCTCAGTGTCTCATGCATGGCTACCTATCCTATGACAGGACAGCACAACAGAATTTGCATCGCTCCTCACACCTGTCCCCACCACCACACTCCCCCAGCCCCCACGAACAGCCCTGTCCCAGAGCACCCTGCCAGGGGAGAGGACCAGGGAGCGGGGAAATCACTGGTGGGATTTGTGTGAGGGCGTGGTTGTTCAGCAAGGGAGAAGACTGTAACAGTGCAGTTCTGTGAGTCACTGTGGTATTGTGTTAATATAAGGCATCACAGGACAGATGAGCCACCTCCTATCAGCAGTAACTGGGCTGAACTGAACACACTGAAAAGCTGAAGAGTAGTTTATTCCAGTAATACATGTGGTCTTTGTATATAACAATAGATCTGATCTTATTAATTTGGGCCTGTGCTACAGTGAAGTCTCTTCAAATTCTAGCTCTGCTGCTTAGGTTACTAAGGTTTCTTCATTTTAATTTCCTTTGAAATTCTTAAATTGTATCTTTATTCAGTTGAAATAAAGATGGTTTCCCCTTTTCAATTTAGGAATTATCTTTTTCTCCTGCTAAACCAGCTTATATACCTAAAATGAGCATGTTTGCTTTTCCATGTTTGCTGGCTTTTCTTGGCTGCAGTTGTATCAGCTGTTCCACTGTAAAGCTACACCAGACTTAAGGAAAGCTTTTCTGTTTAGCCATTAACTGTGCATGTCAGTTGTCACTGGTTGATTCAAGTCTAAAGAAACCTGGAAACTGAACCCAGTCCTAAGGGCACGAACATCAGGATGAGGACAAACATTGCTTAAGGGCCACAGTTGCATGGAGGAGTAGTTCCCCTCATAAAACTGCTGCAGTTTTACAAAGATGTGAGTCTGTGATGTCACATCTGTATCAGCTTTGCCACTGCTCTCAAATCACCTCCTCCAAAATTCCCAGCCTGCTGTGGTGTGCTTTTTGGCTCAGGGACTGTTCCCTCTGGTCCCACATCGGTATAGCCCACTTTGTTTCATCTGCATTGCTTTCAGGGGTCAGAGAGGGTAAAAGTGGAAAGGAAACATGATTGTCAGGAACACAAAATGCTGACGCTTTAAGTGGTAGTAAAGGTCTCATCTTTGCTTTGTTTAAGCACAACCGAGCACTTAAATACAGGAAGAATGGGAATGATGTAGACTTCTGGAGGAAGCTATGATCAGGTCAATGACTCTTTTAAACTCAGCAACTGTTTTAATGATGTTTTAGCCCCGCTATATTCCTTCTTTCTGAAGTGCTTGGATACACATCTTAGGTTAAAACACTCTTAATATATCTGATTTTCAATATCAGGTGTCTTTTATAAAACAAACAAACAAACAAATAAACAAACTTTTCTTGAGCATTTTGGATTTTTCTTGTTTTTTCCTTCCAACCATTTTCTTCCCCAAAGTGTGTGTACATCTCGTAACTTCTGTTCTTTGGTTCAGTCTCCTGGTAGTGACTGCTTCAAGGACCGAATTGCCAGAGGGTGAAGTACTTTAATTTTACAACAAAGGCCTTACTTTCTTTCCTAATATAGTTTTCAGCATGTTTCTGTCTTCCTTAATACTTCACCCACTTCTATTTGCATTAGGTAGTTGACTTTCCTTCTGCAAACTGAGTAAGGCCTTTCTTCCCCTTTTCAGAATGGCAGTGAAGGCTCACGCAGTTTCATTAACATTTCATCTACTTTGCAGCATTCTGCAGGTTGTCCTCTCAACTGATTGTGCTAAATTAGAGGATAATTTTGATGGGAAAGATATTTTAAGTCTCATCTCTCATTTTGAGGAACACCTTTGCTGGGCAGAGCATCCCACTGAGAACCATGCCTCCAGGAGGTCCCACTCCAGTGGCCACTAATTCAGCTGGTGAAAACAAAAGTACAAGTATTAGCAAGAAATGTGAGACAGATTCAGGAACTGAAATTGGGTTTCCCAAGTACCTCTGCCTGGCTGACAGGGTACTGCATGCTCTCAGTACGGTTCCCTCCTTCAGTAGACTTGTCAGTAAAGCCATGAGATGAAGACTCTGTGAATTCTGGTAGAATTACACAAGTCATCCAAATAACAAACATGGGAATATCTGTTCTACTCTCTCCCTGTACAAGTGTAGTTCTCTGAATGTCTGACAGAAGTTCTCTTGTTTGTCAATTAAAAATGTAAGCTGTGAACCTTTAGATATAGTAATAAAACCTGGATGCAGTGGGGGTTTATTTCCTTTTGGTTAGCTGGGTCTTTCAGCGTATCACAGAATCACAGAATATGCTGAGTTGGAAGGGACCCACAACAATCATTGAGTCCAACTCCTGGCCCTGCACAGGACAGCCCCAAGAGCCACACCATGTGCCTGAGAGTATCATCCAAATGCTTCTTGAACAGGCTTGGTGCTTTGACCACTTCCCTGGTGAGCCTGTTCCAGTGCCCAACTACCCTCTGAGTGAAGAACTTTTTTCTAATATCCAACCTAAACCTCCTCTGACACAACTTCAGGCCATTCCCTTGGATCCTGTCAGTGGTCACCACAGAGAAGAGATCATGTCTGTCCCTCCACCTCCCCTTACGAGGAAGTTGTAACTGCAGTGAGGTCTCCCCTCAGTCTCCTCCAGGCTGAACAGTCCAAGTGACCTCATACGGCTTCCCCTCAAGGCCCTTCACCATCTTTCTTGCCCTCCTTTGGACGCTCTCTAATGGCTTAGTGTCTTTCTTCTATTGTGGTGCCCAAAACTGCAGACAGTATTCACAGTGAAGCTTCCCCAGTGCAGAGCAGAGCAGGACAATCCCCTCCTTTGACAGACTGGTGATGCTTTGCCTGATGCACTCTAAGTCACAATCCTTGAAACGTAACAGGCAATTGGCACCTGCCGTTTGTACAGGGGAAACAGAAAACCTGAGAGCTCCGTTTGAGGGCTCAGCAACCAACCCAGGGATGATCGCCCTGGCTCTCTACTCTGCCCTCTTCTCCTACTCAGGATGGGACACGCTCAACTACGTCACTGAGGAAATGCAGAACCCCGAGAGGTAAACACATGCTTTTGCTTTGAATCTCTGACAGGCAATGGCCGGACAAACCACTCTGTATTTGTTTCTGATTGGAAATTAGTCAAACTATTTTCTCTGCAAAATCTGTGTTCTTTTCAAACAAAGCAATGGGAACTCTTTTGATTATTGTGCTCAGTCATCAGTTGTATCACACTAATAAATCACTTGCCTGCAGATATTTTACACCATACGCTTCACACTAGAATTTATAAAGGAGGAGAACAAATCCCTGCTGAAAGCAGGGAAAAGCAGGGGTCCGTATAGCCCTCTAAAATTCCCTACTTCTTTTCAGTTAGACAGAACAATTATTTTTCCAGGACTAGTTTTGCCACCAGTAGAGTGAGACTGTGTCAGGTTTATGACTTCTGTAAAGTAATCTTCAGCACTACTGTTTATGGGCAAATACCATGTCCTCCCCTCTGTAGGGAAGTCAGCCCTGTGGGCACTGTGTGTGTCAGCTACTCAAGCTGATATAGTCCACCTGGTCTTGAGACATGCATGAGTTGTAAGTCAGGAAAAAATACCACAGTCAAGAAAATACCTAAGTGTGAATTTAAGTTTCATTGTTTAGATGCTCTCTTAAATTGCTTAATATAAAAGACAGTATAATAAATTTACAGGTATGAATGTCCATTTTCTTTTTCTCTAAAACTTGTGACAGACCCACAAGCAACAAACTAAGCTGCTTATGGAATTGTGCCACACGTGGCTGCATGTTATTTTGTAACCCTGTGATTACAAAATGATGGATTACCAGCTGTGATGGAGGTATCCATTGACAAATGTCTGAATCTGGAAACAATCTTCTATTTAAGTATTTCTTCTTTAAAGAATATGAAATAAATTTTCCGTTTTCCTTTTGCAGGAATCTACCTCTTTCTATTGCAATTTCAATGCCTATTGTGGCTATTATTTACTTGTTGACTAATATAGCGTACTATGTAGTGTTGGACATGTCAGCTCTGCTCACAAGCGATGCAGTGGCTGTGGTAAGTTGGGAAAAATAACTAAAACCAAAGACACTGCAGAAAAGTCTAAGGTAGCATACTTCTTGGCAAACAGTTGAAATAATTTCACGCCGTAGGCTTCTGCTTTGGTTAAAATACTTTTTTTCCATGTAAGAGTACTAGTATATTAGAAGGTGCATATCAAGAATGTATGCAATAAATCTGCTCTTGAAAAATCCACTTATATACTCTATAAATCATGCTCTTAACAGTTCATCATTAGAACGATGCTTTTGCCAAGATCAGACAGAGAAAGAGCTATAGAAAGTCTGAGTGGTTGGAGAACCAGGGTTTTTTGTTATCTTTCTGATGTGCAGTGTGTGATGTTTAATGCTGCAGACTCACAGCAATATTTTCAACAAGAAAATGTTCCCTGAAATGCTTTTTTAAAACCTTATTAATATTATTCAGAAGTAAAATAAAAATTCATGGATTATTACAGTTGGGATTTGTCAGAATAGATTAAAGCCAATACATCTTCTTTTCCCTTACTGACTTGATCTACGCTTAGAATTTTTTTTTTAATCTTTTTTTAATATATCTACCATTTTTATTTTGATACTGATTAGCTTTCCCAAATTCTAGTTTCCCAAGTCATTATGGGGTGTCATAAGAAAGCATGGGCTATGACATGACATTTGGGATAGTGTGGTTTCATGAGTTTCTCAGGATTGTCCATATGCTTAATGTAATGGGCCTCACTATTGTTTTCCTCTTCTGTTACAGACATTTGGTGGTGAAACCCTTAGTCATGCTAAGTGGATAATTCCTATAGCAGTGGCCATGTCTTGCTATAGTGGCTTAAACTCATCAATTATTGCAGCATCTCGGTATGAAATACAAGATTTATTTTAAATAACTGAAAAGGAATAATTTGTTATTGATCTGCATTATTTACTACTGCATGGTAGAAGTGACACAGTTATTTTTTGCCATGTCAAGTTGTTTATTTATGATGGAGGGGTTCTTACAGTCCCACATGTCCTCTCATGATCAGCACCATTTGATCAACTAAAGCCACTTGAGATGACAGCAGCAGGTACAGCAGAGTCATGAAAGAATTATTTTTTGTTTTGCCAGAAAGCAACAAGCTATTCCTTGGCTCACTGTCTGGTTAAGTTTTCTTATTTGTTTTTTAGGCTTTTTTATGTTGGAGCCAGGGAAGGACACCTCCCTGTCAGCCTGAGCTTGATTCATATAAAGTGCTTCACGCCAGTCCCTGCTCTCCTCTTCAACGTAAGTGACAGCCCAGCCTCGAGCAGGCAGGGTTCAGACCCAGGGGTAAAACACCTCACCTCTGCCCGGTGTTCTCACAGGCTTCTCCTCTGCTGGACACATCTTCTGCAAATGTCCAAAAGACTTCAAGGGGGTGGGGGTGGTGTTATTTTGCCTGATAGGGGTTTTTGCAGTGGAAAGAGAATGACTTGATTCACATTCATCTGCTCTCCAAACAACATTAGTGAGAAGTACAATACCATTACTGAGAAAAAAAAATGGCTAAATATGTAATGGTATAGACAGGAGCTGTTTAAGTCTCTTTAAGGCTTTCTGTGAGCTTTCAGTGTCACTGGAGGAGAATATAGCAGGAACATCTCTCAGACCCTGCCATAGCCTGATATTTTATGGCTCTAGTTATAACAGAAGTGACAAAGCACCTAAAATTAAATTTCTATCATTGGATGCCCATAGCCATATTGACTTTTTCCTGCTGTCACTATACAAATGAGTCTTGTGACACAAAATTGAAGAACCAAAAGTTATAGAATTGGTGCAAATCATTTTCATAAATAATCCATGTATTTAAGTGTGTATTTTATTTGGTGTCTGCCTTTGCCCTGTGTTACATACCATTTATGATTTAATTTATGGTCCTGTTTAGCATCCAATAATTTACTAAAAGTTATAATCCCACTATGAACACTTTTCTCACAGGGATTCTGTTTGCACTAGCAAGATGAGCTATACTTTCTTAATACACCACCATTTGTATTTTTCATATGAAAAGTGAAAGTTTTCTCTGCTCATTTGTTAAAACAGACATTATTTTCCCAGTGGTTTAGGTCTTTCCATGCAGGCAGAACAGCACACCTGCTGGCCACAAAATTTACTCGAATGCTCTCAGTTTATGGGTGGATTGTGGAAGCCTCCAACATTGAAGCTAAATTAAAAGTTTGCCTCCAAGCTGAAGCCAACCATGACAGCAGAGTAAGCCTCTACATACTGAGAGCTTCTTGGCAGCCTTCTCCATACCGCAGCAGAATCTGGGGCTCCTCACCTGGCCTTCTTGGGAGAGTTGCCTGCTGCTGATGAAACATAACTTCACAGAATCGACACCTCTTCAGCCAAATGTGTCGGTCTCACTGCTATGTTTAACAAAGAGATGCCAGCATGTTTCACACAGCATATTTGCAGATTTCTCAAAGGTTTCAGTACATCCTCCTTGCGAGGACCTGATCTCCTAAGTCCAGACAAATATGTTGGAAATGGGCCAGTTTATAATTTTACTCTCTCTTTATTTTCCCATTAAATATTCTTTGTTTTTATTATCTCTAGGGCTTAATGACTTTGCTTTATCTCCTTGTGGAAGATGTGTTCCTCCTCATTAATTACTACTGCTTCAACTACTGGCTCTTTGTGGGTCTGTCTATTGCAGGATTAATATATTTGAGATATACTCAGCCACATAGGCCACGACCTGTTAAAGTAAGTAAACAAGAGAGGAAGCAAGCCCTAAAAGCCAGCTAATGCACATGTTTATGTGATCTTTAATACCACAACCACAACATTACCAATTATGTCATAGGCTATTTATCAGCTATGGGAATTATTTCAAAATAGAAGATGAAGGAGCAAAACCGATTTGAGTTTCCACAAGAACATCTGTTCTAGTGCTTTTGCTGTTATATTTACCATTTCATTTTCTTTCATTCAAACTTACAAATAATTTTGTTTCCAAATAAATAAGAAATAAATAAATGTCTGGTGTTCTTAGCCCATCCTGGAAGAACAGCAGACCTCAGTAGAGCTAGTGATGGAGGCTCCAGCAAGGTTAACACTCTGATCAAATTTACATGATTTAACAAACTCAGTAAAATCCCTCCAAAGCCCATAAATGTCCACAATTCTCATGCAGAAGTTCTAAAGCTCACATAGAAGTTCAAAAGCTTAAATAGTAAAATACATTTTGATTGTTCCCTCCCACTGCATAGTGGTCATAGACAGCAAAATGCAAGTTTAATGACTGACTTGGAAAAGCATTTAACTGTCAGTTAGAAGAGGGAGACTGCACAGAAACAGTCTAAAACTTGTTTCTAGTTGTAATCTAGTGATTGTCCAGAAGGCAAGGGTGGAAACACACAGCTTCCTGCAGGCACACAAAACCATGCACTGGCTCCTGGATTACAGTCAGATTATAGATAATGACTGCCTAATTCCTGTCAGCATTTGCCAGCTTAGTCAACACTACACCGCCACATACACTTTTTCCTATTCTGAAATGTAGCAACTTACATTTTTAACCTTTATAAGCAAAAATAAGTAATTATACCAGTGAATTCTCAGAAGCTTCAACTAGTATTCAAATGTCAACTCCTGTACTCTTGAGAAGGTTCACTACCCTAGACAATGAAAAAAAATTTAATGAAAAATACGTTCATGAAGAGGTTATTGCAACTTTCCTAGAATCATAGGGAATGTTAAGGGTTGAAAAGGACCTTAAAGATCATCTAGACCCAACAACCTCTACCATGGGCAAGTGCACCCCCCACTAGACCAGGTTGCTCAAGGGCTTTTCAAACCTGGCTTTGAACACTGGGGTTGGGTCATCCACAACCTTCCTGGGCCATCTGTACCAGTGTCTCACCACCCTTACAGTAAAGAATTTCTTCCTAATATCTAGACTAAAGTTCCCCACTTTCATTTGGTACCCATTTGTACCCATTTCTCCTTGCTCTATTGCTGCAACTGCTGACAAAGTGTCCCTCTCCAGCTTCCCTGTAGGCCCCCTTCACATACTGGAAGGTTGCTATTAGATCTCCACTCAACCTTCTCTCCTCCAGGCTGAACAGCCCCAACTTTCTCAGCCTGTCTTCGTAGGGAAGGTGCTCCAGTTCTCTTACTAACTTCATGGCCCGACTTTCCTTATTTGTGGTATAATATTTGTTAAGTGCCCACACAAAATGGTCGTAGATCAGTCCATTAGTTCTATAGCACCAAGATGGTCATTGAAAGTCCAGCTGAGTTAGTTCCAAATCAAAGTTACACTTACAAATTTGCAACTGAAATTAGAGGGAGAACTACCCATTACTGCTCAGTTTGAAAGCACTGCTTTCAAAGGTTGACCTTTTACTAATTGAAAGGAACCAAGCTTGTGCAGGCCTGAAAAAAATAAAATGGTCAGATTCTTAGGTGTGGTATAAGAGGTTCTCAGCAGTGCTCTTCTGTGCTAGCTCACAGAAGCTAGCAAATTGTGCTGACTGTAAGCAGTCAAAATATTCAGTACATACTTTTATTATTGGCACGTCTATAATCTGCAAAGCTTGACACTTTTGCAATAGAGTATTTATTTGCATCTTTTAATTTTATTTTTTTTTTGTCTCCACAGCTTAGCCTCTTCTTCCCTATAGTATACTGTTTATGTTCCCTTTTCCTGGTCTTAGTTCCTCTCTACAGTGACACAATCAATTCCCTTATTGGTGTTGGTATTGCCCTCTCAGGCATTCCTGCATATTATGTGGGAGTCTACCTGCCAGTTGAAAAACGACCTAAATGGCTACAGTGGCTCTCCGGTAAGCAAAATCACCTTATCCCAGTCACTGTGACAAAACCATGGTCAGAAGAACAAAAGAATAATTTTTCCAGAAGTCCTTTTTCTTTATTAAGTTTTGCTATGTTTTTGTATGCGGCATGTCATCTGCTTCATCATATGGTCTTGAAAACAAAACCATGCATACTTGTACAAATTGGTTCAATACGAGGATGTTATATGGTCATCTGATATCTGTGGTGTTGAGCCATTTCAATATGTTGGCTCAATAAAAGCCATGTAGGATTGTGAATATTAAATGAGTACTTTTTAATACCCTGGAAGGCAGACATACCAGGACACCGTTGCTTTACTTTCTATCCAAGGAATAGAACATCCAAGTCAGAGGAGTCCATGCATTTTCATAAACAATGACATAATTTTACCTTAAGGGTAATTTCCACTCCTCAAATTCAGGCAGTCTTGAAAAGCAAAACTTAATGTTTTTATTCACTTTGAATTCAGCTATCAATCTGACAATTCTGTAAAAATGTTGATGAAAGCCTAATTAAACAAGACTTTCAGTTTAATTACTGAACTTTTTTTATTTACCTATAACATTATTAATTCAGTTGATTAAGGTGTTTTAAGATTTTCCTAATATCAGTGTAATGCTTTCAAATCCTCAAAATCTGTTTATTTGTCTTAAGATATATTATAACTTTGTCTCATTCATTTTTGCTATTGCAGCTACAACAACGAAGTATTTTCAGATGCTCTTCTACTGTGCTCTGTCAGACCTGGACATTGATGTGGAACCTACAGCAGCTAAGAGTAAATAGAGTTGCCTTGACATTGAGAGTTGGGCCGGGACATCTCCTATCTGGAGCAATTTTTATCATCTGAAGTTCTCCCCATGTGTTCGGTCATACTAAAGCACTAATCACGGTACTGTGCATCAGTCTGGTGTCATTAAGTTTTGCTCGTTAGCAAATTAGACTAATTCAGTCTTCCAAAATGGAAAAGATAATAACTGTTGTTAAAAAAAAAAAAAAGCCATCAGCCTTGCAACCTAGACCACAAAAACAGATGCTCCAGCTCAAATATGGTTTGTTGATATGCAGTATCATTCATAATCCTTGTTGGCAAGTCATAGTTCCTTTCTGTATTTATATTTGAATGTAACCTACATTGTTTCTAGTTTGAATTTCATCATTCCTCTTCAATTAACCCCAATTAAGATAATTTAATCTCATACAAGTCTATGTAACTTCTAAAATTATCGTGTTTTGTTGTTGTCTGTTCAGAGAAAGAGCAATGGAATAGGCAACTGTTGCTACTTAAACCTCTCTTCATTCCCATTCCCCACTGTAAAGTCACTTGCAGGATTGTAATTTCATGCATCTCCAACATTGTGTTTGCTGATAGGGCACCTATGAAATCTTCCATTTGCATTTCTATGCCATCTGCAGTGGCAGCTTCCTTTCAGCAAGGTTTTCTTTCGATATAAAGTATAAACAATGAAAATACAATTAATTAAGGTAAACATGAAGATATTCGAGATGCACGTTTTGCTTTTTGGAAGTCACTGTTTTTGAGCACTAAAATCGGTTAGGTGTCACACCCACAAAACAGAAAGAGAAAAGAAGACCTGGGTTGTAGCTGCAGCTCAGAATATGCCCATGTACTCTTCACACACAGCTCATGTCTCTGTCACAGTATAGCACCAGTGATCCCGCTCTACGGCTGTACGGAAATAATGCGTTTCACTCCATCTCGTACGAAGCACTGATTAGTGACAGAGCTGCAGTCCCAGACTGTATTAGGGCACAGAGACAATACAAACCCTACAATTCGGTACGAAACTAAACGTGACAGTCTTGCCTCCACGGAGTTCAAAGTCATGCTTGATGCTGAGCCATGTGTCACCAAGACACCTGAGGTGATGTCTCAGGTGCTAACAGATAGCAGCCTTACAGGTAGTGTAATAAGGGTACGAACTAAGACCATTTCTTTTGGAAATGATTGTCTGTTTGTTGTCTGTTCTTTGCTAAAATCTGTTTTTGTTTGTATCCGTGTATTGTGTGGCTGAGCTGGAGTTCATTTTCCCCATAGCAGCCCTCACAGTGCTGTACTTTGCATTAGTAGCGAGAAACGTGTTTTGGCTACTACTGAGCACAGCATCAGCTCTGTCTCCCCAACATTCTACCCCACATCAGTAGTCTGGGGGTGGGCAGGATCCTGGGAGTGGACACAGCTACAATAGCTGACCCAGAGTGACCAAAAGGATATTCCATACCGTATGACATCAGCTCAGCTATAAAAGCTAAGAAAAGAAGTAGGAAAGGGGGGATTAGTTACTTACAAAGTTTGCCTTCCAGAGCAACCGCTATGTGTGCTGAAGTCCTGCTTCCCAGGAAGTGGCTGGACATCACTTGCTGATAGGAAGTAGAGAATAAACTTATTTTTCTCCTTCTTTGCTTGTGCGCATTTGCTTTAGCAAACTGCTTTATCTCAACCTTTAAGTCATTTTCCATCTTATTTTCTCTCCCCTGTCCAGCTGAGAAGGGGGAGTGATAGAGGAACTTGCTAGGCAGCTGGCATCTAGCCAAGGTCAACCCACAATGACCTGTTAACTTTCTGGGTGTGATCCACAAGCCTTCACTTACTTTCTTTCTGGACAGAAGGAAAGCAGTAGTCAGATGCAAGGTTATAAATGTAAATAAAGTTATTGAAATTCTCTGTGGACATTGAAATATCAGATATTTTAATGTGTTTGTTGATTTTTCACTTCTTACAAATAATACATGTAAGTTATTGCCAAATATCTAAAGCAGGTCATAGATGTTGCAAACGTTTAACCAAATAAACATTTGAACCTTGGCAAATGCTGTAGGTGTGTGGTTTTAAAGCATAAAAATAGTACTGTGAAAGAAATTTGCCCTGCCTTACATCTTTCAAGTTGGGTTGCCAGGAGAGCAGTGAGACACTAAAATTCTTGTGTTCTCTGTGACACAATAAAGTAAGCATTTATGGAAGGAAAAATTTTGAGTTGCTCTCAGATGCAAGATATGAGCAATTCAACACTTTCTTGCTCTAAGAGTTGAAACTTTTTTTTTTTACATTATTCACAGATGCTTAATTATGTAGTAAGACAGTAAACAGTTTTAATTTTTCAAAGACAGTCTTAGCACCTAGGCTAAGTATCTCATTGTTACATTATACAGGACATCTAGTTTGCCTACTGACATGTCTATGGTGGAAGGGACTTGCCTATGGATAACACTGGAAGCCTCTGAATGATGCAGCCCATCGAGGTGAAGGTTGCACTGCAAAGAATAACAGGAGTTGGCAGATTGCAGGGACAAGAGACCTGGCAAATAACCCATATGCAGAGCTAGGAAAGGGTCTTTCAGGGGCAAAAGCTGGGGCAATGCAGTATTTGGGGGTAATACTAGCTCTTCTTTAGGAATGAGGAAAATACATGGTTCTTGCAGAATCACAGTTTTTTGAATAAAAACAGGAGACGAGAATTGGTATCAGATTCAATTTCTGTGTCAGCAAAGAAAAACAGAAGCTGTTGTTGATAGAGGAAAGACTATCAGCCATAGCAAGTCTGAAGATGTCTGGGCTTTGCATGAGCCTGAAGAGCCGTAAGGGCAGTTGTGTGTTCCCTGGATCCAGAGGTAAGGAAATTCCTTCATACATCAAGTAGGATGAGGACATTGAAATGTGAAGCAACCTGAGAGAGGCAAGATCTGACACTGGGAGGGGTCACAGCTCTGTTACAGGATGAAGTGTCTTCAGTGCATGTGAGACTTGAAACTGAAGACATTTCCTAAATACCTTTTATTGAAATTTATATTCACTGTGTAACAGGAACTTGAGAAGTATTATTGCACGATCTTTCAATCTGTAGTACTAGATTTGTCAAGTCCCTGTTCTGATAAGCTATCAAATTTTGCAGATCTTCCCGGTTTTTTCTGCAGGACTGATTTTTTGACTTATGAGGAGTAGCAGCCAAGCAACTATGTGAAGTGTATTTTGCAAGTGGCTCAACAACTCTAAAAAAAGTAAAAAATAAGTGAATATAGGAAATAAAATGCAAACCTAAATAAGATGCTACACAGTAAGGAGAATTAATTTCTTTGTCTTTTACATCAAGAGCCTAGATTATTGCACAAGAAATTATAAATACTTCTTTAGGAAAACACATTTAATGTAATGGATGTCACTTAAAAACATGAAAGATGAGATATTGATATGTCTGGCTATTAGCTACCTTAAAGCTCAATATTAGAGTCAAAGGATTGGAGTGGAATTTCGGTTACATGACCATGGATTTGAAACAGGAGAGGTCAACATTAAAGCAAATGCTCTTCTTGTGAAGAATAAATGAGAATGAATTGGTTCACGCTACAATTCAATAAGAAAACCATAGTAGAAATTAGTAGGTGTTTAAACAGCTGTTCACCCAAAATGTGCTGTCTGTCAAGTGACAGAACCTAATACAGTTCAGCATACAAAGAGAACAAAGATCAATTCAGCAATACATTTACGTAATGCTCAGAAATGTTCATTTCACAGAGCCAAAAACAACTGTGAGCCACACCTGCTGGAGGGAGGGAAGGCAAAAAGAGTTTACACTGGAAGAAAACCTTCTTGTTGATGTTTAAGAACACTCTACCTATATGCAGATACTGGGGGGAGGGGGGGGAAGGGGGAATAAAAAAAAAAAAGAAAGGAGCATGAACTGTTTTAAAACTGTAATAAATCCTTCCTCTATATAGAAGAGCAAAGAGTCATTTTGAAACAGAAGAAAGGCAAATGACCATAAACTCAAGGACAAGCTGCTGAGCAACATGCTTGACATGCTTCTATAATAGTGCAAAAGAATTTCTGAATGGCTGCGATGCACAGTGTGTGCATAAGCTCATTATTGTGATATTACGCTATTTCAATTACCCACTGCTCTTGCCCATATCGTGCCATCACATAAGGAAATCTGCAAATTAAATTCACCTTTCTCTTAGGAGTTAGGTCCTGTGTGTCTCAGAGTCTGGTCACTGAAACAGAATTTAAAACTTCCAGTGGAGTTACATTTGACTCCACAAGAGGGAGAACTCTGCTTGATGCTCTGAGGAAAGAAGGAGCCTGCTGATTTGGGACCTTCTGCTCGTAGCAGTAGAACTAGAACGATGTGTTTGTATATTCCTGCCCATAGCAAAAGTCCTGAGAAGCTTAACTCCAATGAAAAGTGTCAGCTACAGATTTTGAATAATGCTGTACAACAGCCCACTGCAAATTCAAATGAGGACCAGGTTAAAGTTCAAACATTGCTCTTTCCTTGCAGGATTGCCTTGGTGTCTGCAGCAGCAGACAGATTTTTCTATCCTGGCTGTTTCCACTATATAACAGCATGAATGAAAAGGATCAAGAACATCCTCTTCAGAAGTTCACATTAAGCATAAATACTAAACAAGCTAATCATAGTTAATAGATAATAAATTAGCTATTTTATGGAAAAGAAAAAATTGATCTGTTTGAATGTCTGATCAGTTCTTCATCCTCATACTCTCCTTTTTTCTTCTTTATCTTTTTTCAGATAAAACTTGTGAAATATCAAAGTCTCTCTGCTATTTGGTAGTGAACTATTTATAGACACTCTTTGGAAAATATAGTGCCTAAGTCAAATCAGTTGCTGTTGATTTCCTGCCAATATGATGTCTGTACATGGATATCTATGGTCTTCGTTCTCTTTATATATTTGTTATTTTTTCATACCACTCTGTTGAATTCACTTCTTTAACTGCCTTCTACAGCAATTCCCTAGCTGTGCCCACTTAGTGGAATACCAAGACATTCTTGCCTTTCATCTCAGCTTATGATATCCATCTACTGCCAGTAATTCTCTTGATACGTTAGGGTACTCTGAATTAGGTCCTGCATTAATAGCTGCAACCGAATCATATGTACAGAGCAGGCAGGATATCTGTAAGCAGTTGCCAGCAAAAGGTACCAAGAAGAGAAGAGAATGA